TTGCTCAGTGGATAGAGTGTCAGGCCTGCGGACTGAAGGGTCCCAGGTTCGATTCCGGTCAAGGGCATGTACCTTGGTTGCGGGCACATCCCCAGTGCAAGGTGTGCAGGAGGCAGCAGATCGATGATTCTCTCTCATCGATGTTTCTAACTATCTCTGTAAAAATATCAATAAAATATATTTATATAAAAAAAAGAACCAGCAGGCATTAACCAGGCCCCCAAGAGCCCCTCTGTACAGCAGAGGAAACTGAGTCTGCGGCCTGGTGAGCACACGGGGAAGGGGGAAGGCGGACCCAAGAAAGGATGTGCTTTCTGTTCAGCTCCGTCCCAAAGACCCACCGGGTGGCCCAGCCGGGAGGACCGCCTGCCGCTGTCCCCCCCTCTCCCCGGCCGTGGGGTCTGCTCAGAGGGGCCTCCCCCCGCCATGGAATGCAGGCATCAGCACTTCAGACTCCGGAGTAACCGCCGCGCCCCCCCCCTTCCCCTTCCAGATGTGTGTGCAGCTGTATTTTTAGAACAGCCGACCACGAGGACATTCTTTCCTTCTAATTAAGATGACGGCAAGCCTCCTATCCGCAATCGGCCCGTTATTCAGTCCTCAAATATCAAAGGGTGGTCAGGAGGGGCTGCCTGGGCTGGCTGCAGGTTGGGTTTCTTTCTTTCTGTTGAGCCATTAAGCTGGAAATGTGACCCAGAGCCGGAGCACATGCCAGCGCTGGGGCGGGGGGAGGGCAGAGCAGGGCCTGGCGCCCTGCACCCCTCCTGCCTGGGCTGAGGATGCCCAATGAGGCTGTGGCCCCCCCATGTCCGCCCGCCCCAGGGCAAGGGACCAAGAGAGAGCCTGTGCCTGCCCTCAGGATGCCCGGTGCTGGAGGGGGCTGTCGGCACAGACTCACTGGGGGCTGAGGTCCCGATGCCCTCATGTCACAGGTGGGCAGCTGGAGGCTCAGAGAGCGCATGCCTGCAGAACTGCAGGAGCCTCTCTGGTGTCGGCTGCAGCCGGGCTGCTGAGCTTGGAGGTAGCTCACGGCCCACCCTGGAAGCCCGGCGCCTAAGGTCAGAGGCCTCCTGACCCCCACCAAGGTGTGCCTGGGGAGGACCCTGGTGTGGGGCCAGGCTGCCAGTCCAAGCGGGAGGAACAGGGCTGCAAGCAGGGCCTCTGAGCAGCTTGCCCACGGAGCCACAGCTGAGAAAACGGAGGCTGAGAGAGGCAGAGGCAGCCCCGAGCCTCTCTGCCTACTGGCCTCAGGTGCTAGGTACCCCATTCTGTGGTAGGGGCCTACCCACCACTCAGCCCGGTGATGGGCCGGCCAGCTGCTAGGCAGAGCCTGGAGGTGATGCCAGAGTGCAGCCTGAGCCCTGGATGTAGGGGGAAGACACCCCGGAGACCAGGGCCCCACCCGCCCTGGAGCAGAGGCATGGTGGGCCTGGACGTCAGGCCTCCCAGCCTACCTGGCGCCTAACTGGCTGGCTGCGCTGGACGGAGGAAGTGGAATCGCCTGCAGCGGGTGGAGCGGGGGCACTTGAACCCGGGGCTGCTGTGCAGCCTCCACGGCGCTGGGCAGCGCTGGCACCGACCCCTTGGTTCCCCTGGGAGGCGCGGCGCTCGGCGGGGCAGGATCCTTCAGAGCCTGGGCTTTGTCGCCCCCTCGTGGCCGGGGTCGGAATCGGCGGCGTCGGATAAATAGCGGGAAACTGAGGGGTGCGCGTGGGAGGTGGAGTCCGGGGCGGACCGAATGGGACTCCCGAGGATCTGAAGACCGGACTCTGGGACGCCCCTCGCCCGAGCCCGGGTCTCCAGGCCCGGGTAACAGCAGAGGCATTTTTAGGCCCGGGTCAGGGAGACGGGCGGACCCCCACTTCTGCAGGTGCAGGGAGCAGAAGAGCCGGCCGGCCTGGGGGTGGGGGCAGACTCGGTGAGAGTCTATGCCAGCCGCTTTGCTATTTTATTTATTTATTTAGTTAGTTAGTTTTGTTTTATTTATTTTATTTTATATTTTTATTATTTTATCTTTTGTTTTATTTTATTATTTTATTATTTTTATTTTGTTTTATTTATTATATTTTATATTTTCAATTTCATTTAATTTAATTTTTATTTTTTATTTAATTTAATTTTTTATATTTTATTTTATTATTTATTTTATTTTATTATTTATTTTATTTTATTTTATTTATTTTATTTTATTTTATTTTATTTTATTATTTTAGTGTGAGCCCTGCTTCCTGTTGGATTCCAGGGGCAGATTCCTGCTGCTCCTGCCGGGCCTCAGTTTCCCCATCTGCAGAGTGAGAGGCCCTAGTGCGTAGGAAGGAGCATGGGGGGGCGTGGCCGCTCACGAGGGAGGGGTGTCACCTCCTCGGACTGGCCACAGGCCACACAGTCCCCGAGCAGCTGGCGGCCGCCCCCCCTCCTCCCAGCCCGCCCAGGGCTGGAGAGTCCGTGGCGGTCCTTTCAACACGTCCCCCGGCCGGGGAGGGGGGGCTGGGCGGGCTCAGGCCGCATCCCAGGCTGCGCCCGCTGGATCTGGAAATCTGAGAAAGACCAGCTCCCCGTCCAGCAGGGGGGTTGCAGGCAGGTGGACGGGCACAGGCCTGACCTTGCGGAGTCTCGGACTCCTCTGCGCAGGAGGCTGAGGCTCCCGCTGTGGGCTGAGAGGTGAACAGGCCTGCGTCCACAAACACAACCAAGACTTTCAGAGATTCAAGCTACTATTTGCCGAAGAGAAACTTCCCAGCTTGAGGATGATGAAGGGAAAACCCACCCACCAGGGGGACTGAGCCAGCACGGGGCCCAGGGGGCACCCCGGGGAGGGCCGGCCCGCATGTCCATAGCAGCGATGGGGGTGGAGGGGACATACGGGTCCTGGACGCAGAATGCTAAACCCGGTTCTGAATTTGGCATTTAACCTCCCATGATCACTCTCTAGTTTTTGCTACACATGTATATATGCCTACCCAATGTGAGACACAAGTGTGGTTTGGGATGTTTCCAAGCTTCATACAAAGGCGTTATGGTCCATGACATTTTCTACATCTTCAGTCACACAGCATTATGGTCTACCCGTGTTCACGTGGCTCCTCTCCTTCACTGCTTCCCCCTAGAGCCGCCTTCCGATGGATAGTAACCATTTATTTCTCTGTTTTCTTGAATATTGACATGTGGGGTGTTTTCTGATAGAAACAATGTTGCCCTTATGATCAGGAGACATTCCTGAGCATGGGATTCAGTGTTTCTCTGAGGCAAACGGGGGAGGGCCAGATACCGCCAAAGGATTCTCTAATCACTGCACTGATTTATATTTTCATTTTCAATCGTAAGAGCATCCCAGCTGGCCGAAACCAGTTTGGCTCAGTGGATAGAGCTTCGGTCTGTGGACTGAAGGGTCCCAGGTTCGATTCCGGTCAAGGGCATGTCCCTCGGTTGCGGGCACATTCCCGGTAGGGGGTGTGCAGGAGGCAGCTGGTGGATGTTTCTCTCTCATCGACGTTTCTAACTCTCTATCCCTCTCTCTTCTTCTCTGTAAAAAAAATCAATAAAATATATATATGTATTTTTTTAAAAACAGAACCTCCCAGCTGCTTCTTCCCACCTCAGTGTGTTACCAGTCACACTGCCAGCCAGCTGAGTGCGGAACAGTCCGCTGTTGTGGATTCCATTTGCGTTTCCCGACTGCTAATAACAAGGAGCATCTTTTTATTCCTTGTTGCTGGTTGCCACATCAGTTTCCTCCCCTGTAAACACCCTGTTCACAGCTTTTGCCCGTTTTCTTTTCTTTGTTGTAGGAATTCTTTATGTTTTTTACTACTTCTCTACTTCATTGGTCATGAGCTTGTGGGCACCGCCTAGTTGGTAGCTTTTATCTTGCTCTCTTTTTCAAGAAGTTTTTTCAGAGGGAGAGGGAGAGGGAGAGAGAGAATCATAGGCGCACTGACCAGCTGGTTGAACTGAAACCTGGGTGTGTGCCGGGCCCTGGAATCGAACCCTTGACCCTTCAGTGCACGGGGTGAGGCTCCACACAGCGGAGCCGCACCAGCCAGGGGCACTAGCTGGTAGCTTTTAGCTTCACCTTTTTCTGATGACACAGAGTTTAATTTTTTTTTTTTTTAATCCTCACTCGAAAATATGTTTTCCATTGATTCTCAGAGGGTGAACCCCCTTGCTTCTCCCTCTCCCCATCCTGCATGTGCCCTGACTGGGCCAGGGATCGAGCCTGCAACTGAAGTGCATGCTCTTGACTGGAAACCGAACCTGAGACCCTTTGGTCTTTGGGCAGCTGCTCTAATCACTAAGTCAAACCAGCCAGGGCAATAGTTTTAATTTTAGTGATATTAAATCTTTATAGGGAATCCATGTGGTTTGTCCTGATTTATCCTGACGTTATAAAGGTGTCCTTACTTTCTTCTAAAATGTTTAAACTTTGCTTTTTTTTTTTTGCAGGAGATTTTTGTATCCCTGGAATGATTTTCTTTTGTATGGGGTGAGGCAGGGATCCATTTTCACCCCCCAACACACACACACACACACACTACCAGTTGTTAGCCCATTGTTTCTCCACTAATTTTTATTTTTTAAAAAATACAATTTTATTGATTTTGGAGAGAGAAAAACATCAATAATGAGAGAATCATTGATCAGCTGCCTCCTGCACTCCTTCCTGGGGATCAAGCCTGAAACCCCGGGCATGTGACCTCCTGGTTCATAGGCTGACACTCAACCACTGAGCCAGCCCAGCCCGGCTCTCCATTAATTGAGAAAGAACACACCATAGTTGTGTTGAAACAATACAATACCTAAATAAGATATTCTCAACTGAAACCAGCCACGTGTTCATACAACATTATGAGCAAGTTGTGTTGACCCCAAGAATTCAAGGATAGTTTGCCCTCAGACACTGCGGATGTCATTGAACTCATAAAGAAAACCCTCTGAGTCCAGGATCAGCACGGCTCACGGCATGCTTTTTGAGATTCAAGAATCAAACATGAGCCCCGGAGACGCTGCGGGATCCGTTCGGGTCTGTGTCCAGGGTACGCCGCCCCAGGCTTTGCTGACTTCCTAAGGTTACTGTGCCGGCTGCGTTTCCATGGCCACGGGGAGTATCTTTGGAAAGTCTGGTTAAGGCTTGGCCTTATTCCATGCTGGGCCCGAGGAGAGAAAAGATTAATCCAGGCAGCAAACCCTGTGGTTCCAGACCTCGGGGCGCGCCGGGACCGGGGCCGGACCGGCCTCCCACGTAATAAATCTCCTGGCGGCAACCCGAGCCGGCTCTGCTCCGCGCTCAGAGCCGCCAGCTCTGCGGACGGACTGATGACAGCGCCCCGGAGCCCGGTGGGTCTGCCCTGGGGCCCTCCCCGGGGCTCCCCTCCAGGGGGGAGAGGGGTGAGCCTGGGGATGTCTGCTTAGGAGGAGGGGCTGGGTCCTCAGAGAGCGGCCGCCCGGGGGGAGGAGGGACGTGGGGACGCCCGATCAGGATAAAAGGGAGCCGGGCCGAGGGGCTAGGAGGGATCCGGGGTGGAGGTTCGAGGGGGGAGGGGGAGAGGCAGGAACCTCCCCCCCCCCTCCCCGCGGAGGCCGCGGCGGGGGCGGGGGACGGAGGAGCCAGGGAGTCTGCAACGGCGGGGATCTGAGCCTCGGTTACAACCGGCGGGGACGAATGCAGGGGCCGGGCCGGGGTACCGTGGACCAGAACCCCTTCCCGTCTGCAGAGGGGAGCCCCAGGCTCTGCTGAGTAAGGAGGAGCCAGTGGCCTTTCCACCTCAGCGCTGCGCAAAGGAGGGATGGAAGACGAACAGGAGCCGCCCTTGCAGCCCCGGAAGCAGGTGACCTGCTGGCGGGACATCCTGCTCTCTCCCTCGGCCCCCCGCCCCGCTTCATGCTCTGCGCCCCCTGCGCGTGCACCCCGGCCGCGCGCTCCAGCAGCCCCAGACGCCCCGACCCTCGCCACACGCACTGCGCCTGCGCACCCGCCTCCGCTTCGGTCCACACGCACTGCGCCTGCGCGCCCGCCTGGGCTTCGGGAATGATTGGCACTTCTCCAGGCCCCCCCACTGCGCATGCGCCTCCGCCTGGCTCCGCGGCGCGCGCTGCTGGCTTCCCCCGGGATGGTTGCACAGCCCTCCCCCCGCGCCGCGACCTCGCGGGGCCAAAGCCCACCCCGCAGGCCCCTCTTCTCCTGAATGCGGGGGAAATGTGCCCGTGCCCGATGCCCTCCTGCGATCTGGAGAGGTCGGCATTCCTCCAAACCCCGCCCGCTGGCCCTGGCGTTTCGGATGCGGAATTGCAGCTCAGCGTGCACTGCACAGGCGCAGCCACTCCGGAAGGCTTAGCGGAGACGTCAGACGCGCAAACACTGTCTCGTGCTTGCTCGTTCAGTGGCGTTAGTTGTGTGGGCTCAGAAGAGCGTGCAGGTGTCCGCGCGCAGGTATGGCCTGGGGGCTGGTGCAGGGTTGCATGTGGCCGCACATCTGCAGGACCTGCAGACCCCAGCCGCCCAGGCTAGCATCCCTGGTGATGCCTGCTCTGTCTTGTGTCCTCAACTGCGAGCCAGACACGCCCCGGTTCTGGCTACCTCCGCCCCTTCTTGGAGTGTGTCCCATCCTCACCTCTCTCCCCAGCCTTCATCTCCTCCATCTTCCGTTAAACCCTGTCTTGGCCTGCTTCACAGAGAGAATGGGGGCAGCCCACACCGCTCATCTCTGGGTTTCCCCACAACCTTCACTGATTTCCACGAGCTCCCTGCGTGGGGCTTCCCCTCATCTCCGTTAAGTCTATGCAGATGTCACCTTCTCGGGGCATATCCTGGACCACCCTCTCCAAACACCCCCTCTCACCATCTCTGCTCCCTGTCTCAGTGGCCCCAGCTGGCCTACTATACACTTTCCTTGTTCATGTTGTTACTTACTGCCTGCCTCCCACGCTGGGAGAAAAGCTCCATGAGGTCACAGATTTTGTCTCTCTCTCTCTCTCTCTCTCTCTCTCTCTCTCTCTCTCTATATATATATATATATATATATATATATATATTTTTTTTTTATTTTTTTTTTTTTTACAGAGAGGAAAGGAGAGGGATAGAGAGCTAGAAACATCGATGAGAGAGAAACATTGACCAGCTGCCTCTTGCACACCCCCTACTGGGGATGTGCCCGCAACCAAGGTACATGCCCTTGACCGGAATCGAACCTGGGACCTTTCAGTCCGAAGACCGACGCTCTACCACTGAGCCAAACCAGTTTCGGCAGATTTTGTCTCTTTTGTTCACTGCTCTATCCCAGCACCCAGCGCAGTAGGCTTATGGTCCATAATAGGGAGGCGGGAAATATTTGTCCACTGAATTTATCATCACCATCATAGTTCGTGTCTGATGGCTTTTCATGACTAGCCATGGCTCTAGGCCACACATGTCAAACTCAAAGGCTGACACGGGGCAAATAAACAAGGTTTAAGTTTATGTGGGCTTGCTCTAGCTTGGTTTGGCTCAGTGGATAGGGCGTCGGCCCATGGACTGAAGGATCTCAGGTTCCAATCCACACAAAGGCACATGCCTGGTTTCTGGGCTCAGTCACCAGTGGGGGGGGTGTACAGGGGCAGCCAATCAATGATTCCCTCTCATCATTAATGTTTATATCTCTTTTTCCCTCTCCCTTCCTCTCTGAAATCAATAAAAATATATGTATATTTTTTAAAGTTTATGTGAGCTGCAAAAAAACCAAAAGCTTCAATTTTCATAGAAACATGTTTATTTCCATAGAGACATGCTGAGTACAAAGGGTGAAATAAATGAGTAATCGTTAACATGAAATAATAGAACATTTTAATAAAAATTAATATTTTTTTGAACATTAACTTACCAGACATTGAATAACTGCTCACATTAATAAGCGTAACACAAGTAAACCTATTTTTTCTTGTTCTCTGAAAGCAAAATACTTCCCGTTGCACACACCAAGCAAGTCAGTATAAAACTAATGATGTGGCAGTTGGCTGCTAAAACATTCGTGGGTAGTAATAGTGGAGAGAGACAGTGCGCCTGCATGTAAGGTGCGTAAGGGAAATGAATGCAACACAAATCGGACATCATAAGCGAATATTGTAATTTGTTAATAATTATGTATAATAGGAAATTGTAAATTTTAAGTTACGACACTTTTATTAAAATGCTGCCTACATACCGTTACATTGGCTGGGCTGCAAAAATATTCCTTGTAGACCACATGCGGCCCCCGGGCTGTGAGTCTGACATGCCTGCTCTAGGCTGTCTCCACAAGCCATCTCAGTGGACTAAACCATTTCCTGCTGCCTCGGAGACCTGCTGGCATCTCCCGGCCCCTGGGCTCACTTGTCACCATCAGGCATTGTGCCTCTTGCAGCCTGTCTGGGGCTGTGATGTGGCCACAGGGAGACCAAACCCCTGGGTCCTCACCTGGCTTCCTCCTGTGGCTCGCCGCTTGGGGGGAAGTTACGTAGGCCTTATAGGAGCTGTGGGCAGCCAGGGTGCCTGTCATCCATCTGCAGATCTGTGGCAAGACCTCTGGCAGAATCCTGGAGCCACTCCCACCCGCCCCCACCTCACCTCCCAGCACCCCCGCACAGTATCTGGCCAAATGGGGAATGCATGCTTGTCTCTTCCCTGGCTGCATCTGTCCTCGGCACAGTGCCTGGATGGGACAGGCACTTAGAATTGGACTGACGAATGAATGAATTCCTCAAGGAATTCTTCAGAAACTCTTTTAGCCAAATATCCTTCTGCCATGAACTCTACTTATTTTTTTAAATATATTTTATTGATTTCTTTACAGAGAGGAAGGGAGAGGGATAGAGAGCTGGAAACATCAGTGAGAGAGAAACATCAACCAGCTGCCTCCTGCACAAAACCCTATCGGGGATGTGCCCGCAACCAAGGTACATGTTCTAGACCGGAATGGAACCTGGGACCTTTCAGTCCACAGACCGACGGCTCTATCCACTGAGCCAGACCGGTTTTGGCTGAACTCTACTTATTTAAAAAATAACATACATTTGATTTGTAGCACTTTAAATTTGCAGACAAATTTGCCAAAACAAGAAAGGCAGTATGAATTACGTGGAAAAGATCAATGACTTGATTTGTATACAGTCAGCTCCTCTGTGAGTGCCTAGGAATACAGCTGAGGGAAGCGTTCCCGGTTATACCTTGGAGGAGTAGAGAGCGTCAGCGTACACTGAGTTTGCAGAGCAGGAGGCTGGGCGGGGTTCTGCTCTCGGCCAGCCACGTGGCCTAGGTGCCTCCTTCCCTCTGCCTCGGTTTCCTCGTGCCGCCCGGCTCTCCTTGGCAGGCTCTGGTCCCGGGAGGGTGGTGAGGCTGCTGCTACTCACGCCGTGTCCTCCCGTCTCTCCTCAGACTCAGGGCAGGGTCCTGCTGCAGACCGTCTGTGCAGCTGGCATTGGTGGGACCTTCCAGTTTGGCTATAACCTCTCCATCATCAATGCCCCCACCGCGGTATGTACCTTCTGGGCCTGCGATCGCGGGGGGTGGTGGGGTGGGGGGGTGGAGCGGGTGCTGAGGGCTGACAGGTGTCCCCTGCGGTGTCTTTCCCCAGCACAGGCACTCCTAACCACGTGGCCTCTGTTCAGGCTCCAGAGTGGCCGCTCTGGGGGTAGGGTTTTGGGGTGTCTGAACCACCTGCAGCTCAGGCAGTGGGCCTGGCATCGCACCTCTCTGGGCCCAATTCCCAGCTTACCGACGAGCAGAGTCAGGTGTCCTCACCGACGAGCATTTGCCACAGTCGGGGCGCCAAGGACGCACACAGCTTCCGGAGAAGCCGAGCAGGTTTAGATTCCACACAGGACCGAGCGGGGCGCACAGCCAGAGGGCGTGAGGCCTAGCAATGCAGACTCAGTAGCACAAATGGGGGCGGGGAGCATGTGGCACAGACCCCCTTGCACTCGAGGGGGTCCTTTGGCCTCCTGCTCTGCCTGTGCTTTCACTCTCCCTGTGGGGAGAGGCCTCGCGTGTGTGGTCCCCTCCCTGGGAGGCTGAGCGGCCTCTCCGTTCGCAGCACATCCAAGAGTTCACCAATCAGACGTGGCAGGTGAGGACCGGCCAGCCACCGCCCGACCACCTGATCCTGGTAACGTGGTCCCTCATCGTGTCCCTGTACCCGCTGGGGGGCCTCTTCGGAGCGCTGCTGGCAGGGCCCCTGGCTGTGGTGCTGGGGAGGTGAGTGTTTCCTGTGGACCCCCGTGACCTTCACAGGGGGTGAGGGTCCCCCCGGCCGGTCTGCAGGCCGGGGAACGTGGGAGAACGGAGGTTCCTGGCAGGCCCCAGCCTCCTCCTCTGCCTGCAGTTTCACCACGAGAGTCACAGTTCCCAGCGGGAGGGAGTCCGCTGGGTGAGAGGGAGGACTCCCGTCTCTGATTCCACCTCTGCCAGCAAAGGCCACTTGTAAACAGTAGCCTCATTTCCCACTTTGTGACCCATCTTTTCTTTCTTTTGTTTTAAATATATGTTTTATTGATTTCAGAGAGGAAGGAAGGGAGAGGCAGAGAGAGAGGAACATCAACGGTGAGAGAGAATCATTGATTGGCTGCCTCCTGTACACCCCACACTGGGGTTCGAGCCCACAACCCAGGCATGTGCCCTGACCAGGAATCAAACCGTGGCCTCCTGGTTCATAGGTCGACACTCAACCCCTGAGACAGGCCAGTCGGGCTACCGGCTACCTTTTTTTTTTTTTTTTCCCAAAGGATTTTGAGGAGAGGGGTGCTTATCTGAGGGATAAAGCCATGCATGTAAACCTGTCATTTCAAGCTGTGGACAGGCAGGAAGGAGAATGGTTTGAAGTGAGTTAGTGGTCGGCAAACTCATTAGTCCACAGAGCCAAATATCAGCAGGACAACGATTGAAATTTATTTGGAGAGCCAAATTTTTTTTAAACTTAAACTCTTGCCGAAACCAGTTTGGCTCAGCGGATAGAGCATCGGCCTATGGACTGAAAGGTCCCGGATTCGATTCCGGTCAGGGGCATGTACCTTGGTTGCAGGCACATTCCCAGTAGGGGGTGTGTGCAAGAGGCAGCTGATCGATGATTCTCTCTCATCGATGTTTCTAATTCTCTATCCCTCTCTCTTCCTCTCTATAAAAAGTCAATATATATATATATATAAATTAAACTCCTTCTAACGCCACTTCTTCAAAACAGACTCGCCCAGGCCGAGGTATTTTGTGGAAGAGCCACACTCAAGAGGCCAAAGAGCCGCATGTGGCTCGAGAGCCGTAGTTTGCCGATCACGGCGTTGGGGCATACCACATGAGACCCAGGTACAATGGCTGGTGATCATTTCCACCCAGTCGCTTGGAGCCCTTAGCACGGTTCACACACACACACACACACACACACACACACACACACACACACACGGGTCTGATTGGGCTGGCTGGGGATCGTCCCCCGGACTGACCTGCGCCTCTCCGGCCGGCGTCCTGCTCCCCAAGGAAGAAGTCCCTCCTGGTGAACAACGTGTTTGTGGTCGCCGCGGCGATCCTGTTTGGCTTCAGCCACAGGGCAGGCTCCTTCGAGATGATCATGCTGGGACGGCTGCTCGTGGGAGTCAGCGCAGGTATGGGGGGGGGGGGGCATCTCCCCTGCCTCCCGGTTCTCGGTCGTTCACTTATTCTCTTCATTCGTTCATTCATTCTCTTTATCCACTGATTTACTTTTCACGCATGCCTACCTTCATTTTGCAAAATAAGATGAAGCATGGTTTATCTTAAAAGGCTCGTGTAACTAGACATGGGGAGTGGATATAGGAAAATTAAAAAACGTCGCATAGGGATGTGAGGACACACATTCCCAGACCTGCCCTAACACCACCCGGGGTCCTGTGTTTGAGTAACGCGCCAATAGACATGAGCTTCCTGGCCGCCAAGGTGAAAAGGCCTCTAGGATGAGTTCTCTGGCCGTCCAGACGAGGCAGACTAGCCTGTTAGGGGCTCCTCAGTTTGGGGGCCAGGGGAGGCTGTCATGTGAGGGAGCAGAATTTTTAGTATATCCATCTGGGCTCTTAGGGGTTCCCGTCAGCAAATCCCCTCTGGACCCCCGCCTGTGTAAACGGCCAGGTGTAACTGTCTGTATGAGGGATCTAGTCCAGTAAAACAAAGTCTGTAAACACTTCTTGTCTGATGGTTCCTGTGGGACCCAGGCGTGTCTCTGCCTGTTAGCTCTGGCTGCGCCCTCTAGAGGCTGGGATCACACTGGCAGGCCGGGCTGCAGTCACTCTGGGTTTGCCGAGGCTGGAGGGTCTGCTTCCAGGATGACAGTGGGCAGAGGGTACAGTCCTCAGCCTGTGGGTCTCACCCGTGGTGGCTGGTTTCCTCCAGCGTAAGTGATCAGAGAGGAAGAAGAGTGTGTGTGTGTATGTGTGCATGTTCAAGGAAGGAGTCCCAATTTTTAAAAATATATATATTTTAGCCAAAACCGGTTTGGCTCAGTGGACTGAAGGGTCCCAGGTTCGATTCCGGTCAAGGGCATGTACCTTGGTTGCGGGCACATCTCTGGTGAGGGGTGTGCAGGAGGCGGCTGGTCGATGTTTCTCTCTCATCGACGTTTCTGGCTCTCTATCCCTCTCCCTTCCTCTCTGTGGAAAATAAAAAAAATATATTAAATAACTAAATAAATAAATAAATAAGATAGTAACTGTGATTTTAAAAAAATCTTAAATACATATATATGCATATATATATATATATATTTATTTTTTTTTATTGATTTAGGAGAGGAAAGGAGACGGAGAGAGAGAGAAACATCAATGATGAGAGAGAATCATTGATGGGCTGCCTCCTGCACGCCCCTTACTGGGGACCGAGCCTGCAGCCCGGGCCTGTGCCCTGACTGAGAATAGAACCGTGGCCTTCCCAGGTCGATGCTCAGCCACTGAGTCACGCCGCGGGGCTGTTGTTTATGTCCCAATCTCAGAAGTCACCCCCGGTTGGTGTTGCCCCAGGCTTCTTGTGAGCAGTGAGTCACCGGGACAACCCAGGCTCCAGGGAAAAGGAACTGGGCAGGACGTGGCCTGTGTGCCCCGAGGACGAGGGCCCGGCACACAGGCCCGGTCCCTGCCTGCGCGGAGGGAGAGCGGGGCCCCTCGGAGGCTTTGGCCTCAGCTCCCTGCAGCCCGTGCTCAGAGAGACACAGGCCCCTGATGAGACCTGGGTCCTGATCCCGGGCCGGGCCGGGCAGGAGGGCCCGGCGCTCCCGGGGGGTGCAGGATGCTCGATACTGGCCTCCTGGCGTTGGGCAGCGGTCGCCACCTGGGGCGGGCAGGGGGAGGGCTGTCCGGTTCCGTTTCCCCGCCGGTTGCTTGGTGCCCGGTGTCTCTGCAGGAGTCGGGACAAGGTGAGCGGACAGCAGTGGTGGCCGGTGACAGTGTCGCTGGGAGAGCTGGGCAGCGGGTGGGCATCGGATGCCGCCTCTCCCTTCTCCCCCCGCCCGCTGGGAGCCCTTTACATCCACCCAGGGACGGGGTCTAGAGAGATTCGATGACCGGAGTGGGACTGGGGCGAGGGAACAGGATGGGGCTGGTCTGAGAAAGACTTTTCCATCTCAGAGATCCTGGGGGCGGGGTTGGGGGGGACCTGGGGTCCTGCTGGCCCTACAGCAGGTGCGGGGGGTTGGCCTCTAAGCATATGGGGTGAGGGAACAGCTCTGGGCCAGGATCCAGCAGGTGAGGTGCCAGGACGGGAGGAGGCAGGCCCGGGCCTTGCGAGAGGGGGTCCAGCCTGCAGTCTGACTGTCTGCGTGCACACGGCCAGGCGTGAGCATGAGCATCCAGCCCATGTACCTGGGGGAGAGCGCCCCCAAGGAGTTCCGAGGAGCCGTGGCCATGACCTCAGCCATCTTCACTGCCCTGGGGATCGTGATGGGACAAGTGGTGGGACTCAGGTAAGCGCCCCCCACGGGCCAGGAAAAGCCCTGCTTTGCCTGGACCCCTCCCCACCTGTGACAGAGACTAGGCTGACCTGCTCCCTCACATCTGGTTGGATCACATGCCTTCCCCTAGACTAGGGGTGTCGAACTCAATCAGAGAAGGGGCCAAAATCTAAAATCCAGCCTAAATCGCGGGCTGAATGGTTTACTGAACAGTCATAAACTGTCATTGTGATGGAAACGCAGCGGAGTGCAGTGATGACAGCGCGGTGCGGGCCACATTGCAAGGCCTGGCGGGACGGATTTGGCCTGCGGGCCTTGTGTTTGACACATGTGTCCTAGACCAATCCTGTGTCACGTGAGGCTACATCTGGGTCAGGTGACCCCCAATCCTTTATAATAAAAGGGTAATATGCAAATAGACCAAACGGGAGAACAACCTAATAACCAGTCACAGTGTAATATGCTAATGATATGCTAAGGCAGATCATTGCTTCTTTGCATTGCGAAACTTGGTACACAAAACGGGCCTCAGGAAGCCACGCTTCAGTGTGAGCCACCCTTCTCCTCCTCTCCGGATCAGGAAGCAGAAAGCAGGTCTTGGCAGACAAGAGGGGGGAGGTTTGGGCGTTTGAAGGGGAGCTTGCCTTGGCCGTTCCAGAACAGAGAGGAGAAGGCAAAGCCTGGGGTCCTGGGAGAGGAGTTGGTAGGGAGCAGAGGGGGCCGCGGCCCTGCCCAGGCTGGGGTCCCTCCCTGGTGGGAGGGCGCTCGGTGTCCAGGCCCAGAGCTGGTGAGGAAGAAGCACAGAGCCTGCAGACCCTGCCCTCACAGGGCAGGCAGGCACGTTGGGGGGCGGGGGGCAGGTGGACAGGGGACAGGGCTCTGGCCGGGAGGTGTCTGGCTGGCCTCTCCTCTGCCTCTCCTCCAGGGAGCTCCTGGGGGGCCGGCAGTCCTGGCCCCTGCTGCTGGCCAGCTGCCTGGTGCCCGGGGTGCTGCAGCTGGCCTCCCTGCCCCTGCTGCCCGAGAGCCCGCGCTACCTCCTCATCGACCGCGGCGACACCGAGGCCTGCCTGGCGGGTGAGTCCCCGACCGCTGGCGCCTGGACCACTGCCCACCAACGGGCGTGCCTGCCCAGAGCACGTGGGTCCCTTTGCTCCGGGAAAGGTGGTCCCTCCCTTGGTGCCCTCTGTCAGTCCCTTCCGAGCCCCAGGCCGGCGCAGGGAAAGCTCCTGCACACGTGCAGGATGAAATACCATGTAGACTTCTCTGGCCCAAGGCCAGCCAGGTGCGGACGGCCTTACTCATTGGCTGTGGCCAGAGTCATGATGCCCCAGGAACGATCCCCACGTCTTTGGCTTAAAACACAACCGCGTACCCCAACCAGGTGGCTCAGTTGATTGAAGCATCGCCCCAGGTACGATTCGATTCTGGTCAGGGAGGCAATCGATCAATGTTTCTCTCTCTCTCTCTCTCTCTCTCTCTCTCTCTCTCTCTCTCTCTCCTTTCTCTCTAAAAATTTAATTTTACCTAATTTTATTTATTTTTAAGTATATTTTTTACAGAGAGGGAGATAGAGAGTTAGAAACATCAATGAGAGAGAAACATCGACCAGCTGCCTCCTGCACGCCCCCCACTGGGGATGTGCCCCCAACCAAGGCATGTGCCCTTGACGGGAATCGAACCCGGGACCCTTCAGTCCACAGGTTGACACCCTATCCACTGAGCCAAACCAGTTTTGGCTCTCTCTAAAAATTAATAGTCATATCCTCAGGTAAGGATTAAAAACAACAACAATCATTTACTTTACTTTCTACTCATTGACTCACTGGGCTGGCTGCCCTGGGCTGGTGTCAGAGGCAGCTGAGGATTGGCCAGTGCAGGCTGGTCTGGGCTGGAGCAGTTCCGCTCTGCTGCACATGCCTCTCTCTCTGTCTCTCTCTTTAAAAATGTGTTAATAGCCCTCGCTGGTTTGGCTCAGTGGATAGAGTGTCAACCTGCGGACTGAAGAGCCCTGGGTTTGATTCAGGTTAAGGGCACCTGCCTGGGTTGCCAGCATGACCCCCAATAGGGGGTGTGCAGGAGGCAGCCGATCTATAATTCTCATCATTGATGTTTCTATCTCTCCCTCTCCCCTCCTCTCTGAAATCAATAAAAATATATTTATTTAAAAAAAAAAGAAAAGAAAAAGAAAGAGGTTTGTTTTTGTTGTTGTTGTTTTTTATTAAACGAACCTAGCAAGTTTGGAATAAGTTAAATTTGATTACAATTTGTTCCCTCTGAGGGTCTTTCTGTGCTCATGTGTTTGTTTGTTTGTTTTTCACACTTCACCAGAGGATATTTTTCCTTGATTTTTAGGGAGTGGAAGAGAGGGGGAAAGACAGAGAGAGGCATCGATGTGAGAGAAACACATGTATCGGTTCCTCCTGCATGAGCCCAAGCAGGCCCGGCCGGGGAGAAGCCTGCAACCCAGGCACGCGCTTGCCTTTGTCCGGCCTCCTCCCCATCCTCTGTCTGGTCTGGGACCCAATCCCATAAGATACAGGTCTTCGTTCTGGTGGCATCCGCTCTGGGTACCAGTTTACCGATGGGCTTTCTATTCCTGCCTGACAGTCACTGCATCTCCGTGGCCAGCCCCTGTGAATTCTCTGGGGCTGACCAACGCGGGCTGGCTCTGGCTGGTGGCTCTGCCCCCTTCGGTCACTCCTGCAGGTCTACCGGGCATCGGCCCATCTGTGCGGTACCAGCTGGGCCATCTTGGTTCCTTCTGGCACCCTTGGGCCAGCCTAGACCGTTTTTGCATTTTTTTAAAATTGTTTTTTAAATATATTTTATTGATTTCTTACAGAGAGGAAGGGAGAGGGATAGAGAGTCAGAAACATTGATAAGAGAAAAACGTCAATCAGCTGCCTCCTGCACACACCCCCACTGGGGATGTGCCCCGCAACCAAGGTACATGCCCTTGATTAGAATCGAACCTGGGACCCTTCAGTCCGCAGACTCTATCCACTGAGCCAAACGGGTTAGGGCTAGCACGTTTTTAGAATGATGCCGGAATAGAAATGAGCCGGGTCCCGCCTTCCCTACAGACTCCCCAGTCTCTGCATTCTGTTGGATGGATCCACCGCATCCCCAGGTTCTACAGTCCTTCCTGGTCCATGAGGCTGTGAACGGACAGGACCAGGAAGGTCCACCCCATCTGACCACCCGGGGCCCGGAGAGAGAGAGAAAGAGGGGGGAGCTGGGGAGAGGAAGCGCATTGTGGGGGACCAGAGGGAGGCCAGGGGGCAGAGCGCTCAGCACCCCTCTCCCGTCCCAGCGCTGCAGCGGCTGCGGGGCACCCAGGACCTGGCGGCGGAGCTGGCGGAGCTGGAGGAGGAGCGGGCGGCCTGCCAGGGCCTGCGGGCCTGGCGCCCCTGGGAGCTGTTCCAGGACCGCACCCTGCGCCGGCAGGTGGTGAGCCTGGTGGTCCTGGCCAGCGCCATGGAGCTCTGCGGGAACGACTCGGTGAGATTCCGCCCCTGCCCCTGCCCGCCCCCCTCGCCACTCTGTGCTGCAGGACCCTGGGGGTCACGGTGGCTGCCGGAGCCGGTGCTCAGAGCCGCCCGTGCCCGCCTCCCCAGGTGTACGCCTATGCGTCCTCCGTGTTCGGGGAGGCGGGAGTGCCCCGGGAGAAGGTCCAGTACGCCATCATCGGGACCGGGTGCTGTGAGCTGCTCACAGCGTGCATCAGCGTGAGTGTGGCTCCGCCGGCCTCCCCCAGCCTCCTGGGAGAGGGGGGACCAAGGAAGGAGGGTGCTGACCCCCTGAGGGCTCCCGTCCTCTGCTTTAATCCATGTCCCACTCCAGGTCACTCTGTTAAAATACGCGGACTTAGCCAGCCTGTATTGGGCACCTGCTGTTGGCTGGGCACTCCAACCACTGTTTTGAGATGAGGGAATTCCGTGTGGTTGGGTGGCTGTGGGAAATGAATTTCTTTTTTCTTTTTCTTTTTAATATATTTTCCACAGAGAGGAAGGGAGAGGGATAGAGAGCTAGAAATGTTGATGAGAGAGAAACATCAACCAGCTGCCTCCTGCACACCCCCCACCGGGGATGTGCCCGCAACCAATGTACATGCCCTTGACCGGAATCAAACCTGGGACCTTTCAGTCCGCAGGCCGATGCTCTATCCACCGGGCCAAACCGGTTTCGGCAGCAAATGAATTTCTGCAACAAACTTCTCCCTACCCCGTCCTCCGCTTCCTCCCGAGGCCTCTCCTCACTGCCCACCCCAAACAAGGGGACCGTGGCCCGGGGCCCCAGGCCAGGTACCGAGGGCCCTTTCCTTCGCAGTGCATGGTCATCGAGAGGGCCGGCCGGCGGGTGCTGCTCATCGGCGGGTACTGCCTCATGACCTGCTGGGGGAGCATCTTCACGGTGGCCCTGTGCCTGCAGGTAGCTGGCGGGGAGGAGGAGGAGGGCGGCGGGGTGCCGGCCGCTCCCCCCTCACCCCAGCCCCCCGCTGCAGAGCTCCTTCGCCTGGATGCCCTACCTGGCCATGTCCTGCATCTTCGCCTTCATCCTCAGCTTTGGCATCGGCCCCGGTGAGTGGGCTCCAGGGGACTCGCCGAAGGGACGTGGGCACTACCTGGGTGGACGGTGGGTGGGTGTGAATGCGGTATCACCCGCATGCCCCGCCCCCACCCGTACGGAAGCTTCTGGAAGAACGCCGAGGGGTCCCCACTGCCACATCTGGGGACGTTCCCTGGCTGGCATTCCCCTGTCCCCCCGCCCCTCCTTGCAGCCGGAGTGACAGGGATCCTGGCCACGGAGCTCTTTGACCAGATGGCCCGGCCTGCCGCCTACATGGTCTGCGGGGCGCTCATGTGGACCATGCTCTTCCTGGTTGGGCTGGGGTTCCCCTTCATGATGGTAGGCCTGCCCCTCCCCCCGCACAAGAACCCCAGTGGGAGGCCTCCACCCTGGGAGATGGAGCCCAAAGGGGGTGGGGCTTCGCTAAGCAGAGAAAGAGAGCCCCTCTCTCAGACCTGTCCTGGGGCCTTGCCTCCTGGGGCCGAGTATAGAGCCACCCTGGGTCTCAGGAGGGACTGTCCTCCTTTTAACGGCCAGGAGGGACTGTCCTACTTCCTCTACGTGCCTTTCCTCGTCGTCTGTGTCTGTGGGGCCCTCTACACTGGCTTCTTCCTTCCCGAGACCAAGGGCAAGACCTTCCTGGAGATCTCCGAGGAACTGCACAGGCTCAACTTCCCCGGGCAGAGCCCGGGCCCGATGTGGAGGGCCCCGAAGGTCACCCAGTCCACGGAGCTGTAGCCCCGCGGCGGAGGCTGGGCCCAGGTCTAGCTTCCGCTCCGCCCTTCGCATCCTCTCCATCTAACGAGGGCTTGTTCAGTGAGCTCCTACTGTGTGCAGGAACGGGGCCGGGGTACTAGCCACAGCCGTGAGCCAGAGAGGCGGGGTCCTGGGCCTCTCGGTGTTCCCCACCCAGAGGCCGTGAACAAACAGGAAACCAATGAAAACATAACTACAAACTCAGGGAATGCGGGGGGAGAAAAACACAGGTTGTGAAAGGTGTGCATAGCCTGGGGTGGAGGTGCAGGAGGGGCTGTCCTCGTGTGAAGGCCTCATGGTCAGAAAAGGCTTTTTTTTTTTTTTAATGAACTTTATTGGCTCTGGCTTGGAAGCTCGGTTGGTTCAAGTGTCGTCCTGATACGCCAAAGTTGTGGGTTCGATCCCCGGTCAGGGCACATACAAGAATCAACCAATGAATGCATCAATAAATGGAACAACAAATTGATGTTTCTCTCTCTCTAAAGCTCAATAAAAAATAAAATCAACTTTATTGAGGTGTAATTTGCATACAATAAAATGTATCCACATTAAGTATACATTGGATGAGTTTTGACAGATTTATCAATCCCATGAAACTACCAAACCACAGCAATCAAGGTAGGACATTCACATCCCTCCAAAATCTCCCTTTGCGATCAATAACCCACCACCCCTCCCATCCCCAAACAACCGCTGACCTGTTTTCTGTCCCTATAACCCAGACTGGCCTTTTCTATACTGAATTTGACATAAATCCATGCTGTATGTATGCACTGCTCCAGATAAAGTTTTAAAAAGTCATGCAGGTTGTTACATGTATTCATATATACTCCTCTGTATTTCTGAGTAGTATTCCACTGCATGGCTATAACACAATTTGCGTATCCGTTTACCTGCTGGTGGACATTTCAGCTGTTTCTGATTCGTGGCCACCATGATAAAACTGTTGCGAACATCCCTGCACAGGCTGTTGTGTAGACAGTGTTTTCATTTCTTTTGGGTAAATTGCTGAGTCTAATAATGAAGGTTGCCCGGCCAGAGTGACTCAGTAGGTTGATTGTTGTCCTGTGCACTGAAAGTTTGATGGTTCGATTCCCAGTTGGGGCACATACCTGGGTTTCAGGTTCAATCACTGGTTGGGGTACATACAAAAGGCAACCGATAGATGTTCTCTCTTTCTCTCTCTCTCTCTCACTGCCTCCCCTCTCTTCCTTCCTCTCTATAAGCATGTCCTTGGGTAAGGATTAAAACACACACAAAAAATAATGAAGGTAAACCTTTTCAAAGTGATTATCCTGTTGGGCATTCCCACTGGCAATGTGTGAGAATGCCAAATGTTCCAAATCCTTGTCAGCACTTGGTACTGGCGATCTTTTTAATTGGTGTCTCATTGTGGTTTAATTGGGGTAGTTCCCTGATGACTCACAATGTTGAGCATCTTTTCATCTGCTCAGTATGGCCATTCATCCATCTTCTCTTGTGAAGAATCTGTTCCAATATTTCATCTATTATATTTTTTAAGATTCCATTTTTTAGAGCAGTTTGAAGTTCACAGCAAATGTGAAAGGTACAGAGATTTCCCACATGCCTCCTGCATGCCCCCCCTCATAGCATCTCCCCCATGATCAACATCTCCCACCAGAGTGGGACAATTGTTACAATCCATGAACCTACAAAGCACTGTCACCCGAAGTCTGTAATGCACACTGGGGTTCACTTTTGAGATTGTAGAGTCTATGGGTTTGGACAAATGTCTAATTCTATGTTCCCACCATAAGGTCCCATACAGAGAAGTTTAACTGTTTTGAAATCCTGTGTTCTGCCTGTGGTGGGGGTTGGAGGGAGGGTGCCAGCTCACAGCTGGTTATTGCGAGACAGGGAGGGCCTGGGCTAGGCCCCTGGGCAATGGTACCTCCCCTGTGAGAGAGGAGCTCCCTCCCCCACTTGGCCCTCTTTGGGTCTCACCGGGGCCACCCTCCTGACCCAGAGCTGGTGAGGAAGAGGCATGGGACAGCAGCGCCTCTGCCCTCCGGGGAACCGGGAGGCAGGGCCAGGGCGTTTGCAAGGAGGCACTGGCCCAGTCCCTCCTGTCTCCCCAGGTAGCTTCTGGGTGGCCCACAGGCCTGGCCCCTATTTCTGGCGGCCGCCTGTGCCTGGGTGCCCAGCAGCCTCTGCTCTTCTTCCTCGGGAGCCCAGGAGAGCTCCTCGTTGTCGGAGGAGACCCCAGGGCTCGCCAGGAAAACACGTTCCGGTACGGCGGGGTGGGGGGCACCCGTGGGGGTGATGACCCCCAGATCTTCTTCCACTAGGACTAGAGGGGGTGGGGTATTTTGCTTGTCTCTGCTGAGACTTTTACCACATTTAGTGCAAAGGACACAGGGCCAGGGGCCAGGGGCTGCTGGGTAGTTTTGGCAGAAAAGAGGGATGTGGTTAGCATGAAGCCTCTGGGAATTTCCCCCAGATTCACTTTTCTGTCCCATTTTTATTTCAGTTCAGCAACTCCTTGTATGATAGACGTAAGGATGGAAAACATACAACATATTCTGACCAGATCAGGGTTCCCAGGAGTCACAGGGCAACACAAATGATTTGGGGCCATTGCTTCTTTCTGCCAGGCCCTCAAAATGGTCATTTCTAATGGATGGGAGAAAATAAAATTCTCAGAACCAATCCCCTGTGGCCGAAGGAAAGACCGGTGGCTCCTTGCACACGGAGGCTGGCGGGTACAAAGTTGTTTCTCGAGCTCATTAAACAACGTGTCCGCCGAACTCTAAGATGAAGGAGAGAAATTCCTGACATCAGTGTGTTCGGCTTGAACCTGGGTTTCAGATTAGAAAGGATACTTGTCCAAACCGCTTTATCATCAGTAAGTTTGTTCTTAAATATTTTTTAATTGATTTTTTCTTCTTTTTTTATATATATATTTTATTGATTTTGTACAGAGAGGAAGGGAGAGAGATAGAGAGCTAGAAATTTCGATCAGAGAGAAACAGCAACTAACTGCCTCTTGCACACCCCTTACTGGGGATGTACCCGCAACCAAGGTACATGCCCTTGACCGGAATCAAACTGGGGACCCTTCAGTCCCCAAGCCGACACTCTATCCATTGAGCCAAACCAGTTTCGGCATTAATTGATTTTTTTAGGGGGGGGGGGGGGAGAAAGAGAAACATCGATCACCCCAGGCATGTGGCCTGACCAGGATTCGAACCAGCACCTTTCAGTGCACAGGACGACAGCCAACTGACTGTGCCACCTGAGCCAGAGCATCATCAGGGAGCTTTATTTAGCATTGGTTACCGTGGTATAGAGGCAATGCAGACCTCTCTGTGCTTTTACTTCCGTTCTACCTTCTTCTGGGCTCTGCTGGTGCTGGTGCTGAGCCTCTACTTACTCCTGTCCCTCCGCTCCCTCCCCTTGGCCCTGTCCTCCCTGAAGTCCCGCTCTCTCTCCCAGTCATTTCCCGGCCACCCCCTGGCCGGCTCCCTTTCCTGCCGCCTCTTGTCCCTGCCCCGGTCATGGTCTCGCTCCCTGGTCCTCGGCTCCCAGTGTCTCTCCCGGGATCGGGACCGCTCCCTCTTGTCCCTCTTCCCTTCTCTGTACTGATCGCTTTTGATAACGGGCAGATTGATGGGTTTCCGGAAAGGCCGGTCCCGCCCCCCAAACCTCAGCTGCCCGGATTCCTTTTTGCCCCCCAGCCCTCCCCCCAGCCGCCGAGGGATCCAGCCCTTGAGAGTCCTTTCCAGTTCGTAGTCCACGAAGATCTCGTGCTGGTCGATGACCAGGCCGTCGGCGTCCCGGTAGGCTTTGAGCAGGGCCCGCTCCTCCTTGTACTCGATGAAGGCGTAGCCCTTGGAAATGCCCGTGACCAGGTCCCGCACCAGCCGAAGCCGCCGGATGTCCCCGTAGCGGGAAAACACCTCCTTCAGCTTCTCCTCTTTGGTCTGCAAGTTCAGCCTCGCCACGAACAGGGTGAGGAGGGGGTCCCCCGTGACGCCTTTGTTGGGGGTGTACCGTGCCAGCATGGCCCTCCAGACGGCGCGGTCGTGGGGGTCCTCGTCCGTGCCATCGATGCTGCCGGCTTTGAGGGGGTCATACTCCTTGGCGATGGGCATCCAGTCGTTCATGTTCTAGGAAGGACCACAGCAAGCAGTGATGTAGCACCTACTGTGCGCTACCCATTGATCCTCACAGCAACCCCGTGCAGCAGGCACCACCACTCACCCCTTCGTTGATAGGGAAGGGAGTGGATTCCCAGAGGCTGAGGCAGTTTAGACCTCGGTGGGTCTAAACGGGCAGTTTAACATCCCTCCAGGTGTCCCAGATCGGAGAGGGTGCAGGCTGGGCTGAGGGACACTTCCCCACACACACCTGTGCATGAATTCCGTGCACCAGGCCTCTCGATATTTCATAAATGGGGATAGGATGTGAGAGATGAATGGTGTCATGTGGAGGTGGGCGGTGCAGTTAACCGTTAGAGATAAAGGCGAGGAAAATGGGGGGGAAATAGCATGAGACTGGGCATCATGAACGCCCAGGTTTAAGACCTTATCCTAAAAAAAAAAAAAAAAAAAAAAGACCTCGTCCTATGTTGGGCAAAATGTAAATCGTCTATAAAATGTAGCTAAAAGGCCGAAACCGGTTTGGCTCAGTGGATAGAGCGTCGGCTTGGGGACTGAAAGGTCCTGGGTTCGATTCCAGTCAAGGGCATGTACCTTGGTTGCGGGCATATCCCCAGAAGGGGGTGTGCAAGAGGCAGCTGATCGATGACTCTCTCATCGATGTTTCTAATTCTCTATCTCTCTCCCTTCCTCTCTGTACAAAATCAATAAAATATATTAAAAAATAAATAAATAAATAATAAAATGTAGCTAAAAGCCACTTTACCGGCGAAGATTAGATAAATATCTCTGAAACTGCTTTAGCATTATACATTATTATACAAATAAAGTCGTTATTATTAAGCAATCAAAGCAAGTCCTCACTAAGTCTAAAAGTACTTTCCCGCGCTTCCCACCCAGGTGGACTTAAAGCGGGACCCGCAGGCCTGCCGAGCATGCGCAGTGGCGCCGAGCATGCGCAGTGGCACGCAGGCGCTAAGGCGGAAGTGACCCTGCAAAGACCCGTTCCTCTCAAACCCCGAAGCGCCTCCGCCATGGCCGTCGGCCCCTCACCTTCCGGGTGGACGTAGAGAGGAAAGGGCAATCTTTCCAACCCAGCTACCGCCCCAGCTCCTCTAGACACAACCCGAATGGTCCCCCCCTTCCTCGCTTTGCCAGGTTCCAACATGGCGGCCCACACGCGCGCGCGGACAGGCCGTCCAGTCGGATCTAAGTCCTTCCCGCCAGGTGGGCGCCGCTCCCGCCACGCCGCTTCCACTCACCTTACCGAGGCTGGGCTCCCTCTCCCACGGATACCGGCGCCGTTTTCCTAAGGATGGAAGATTCTTGGTGCCGCCTACGACCGGACCTTTATATTGGCAACAGCAGATTCGCCACGGGCGCTGTTTCCGCTTTTGTTAGGGAAAAAAAAATGTAATCCCTTATGTTGAGCACCGAAGGCGTATTATTTACGAGTAGAATAAAATTTCTAATATTTTTCCCCCTCACGAAGACAAAACCTGTTCGGTTGCACCGTTGAGTTGAAAGACTATCGAATCTGCAATTAGGGGTCTGAGAGCCGCGGGCTTCCTATGCGCCGCATTGGGCTCCCTCGGCGTCTGGAGAGTTTATTTTCAGACTGCCTTTGACCATGAAATATGGTTTCAACTTTAAATTATGGCTTCTTCTGGAAATGCCTATGCTGGTTCGAGTGAAAGTTGGTACGTTTTCCCAGAGTTTCCTTAACCCCGTGGTCGGCAAACCGCGGCTCGCGAGCCACACTCCGCTCTTTGGCCCCTCGAGTGTGGCTCTTCCACAAAACACCACGGCCTGAGCGAGTCTTATTTTTGAAGAAGTGGCGTTAGAAGAAGTTTAAGTTTAAAAAATTGGGCTCCCAAAAGAAATTTCAATCGTTGCCCTGTTGATATTTGGCTCCGTGGACTAATGTGTTTGCCGACCAGTGCCCTAACCCCTTGATTTGGTAAGTTCCTGTTTCACACAAGCCAAACTTGAGAGCTGCGTGGGAATTTGTCACCGTGGGGTTTCCTAAGGGGTGCAAGAGGCCAACTCCTTGGAGGTTTGATTTGCATTTCTCCGTGATGTTGAGCATCTTTTCATAGGCTTATTAGCCTCTCAAAGGGTCATCTGGAAACCATCCCCATGACGGCCACATCTATGGGGTGCCCCCCCCCCCCAAAAAATGTATGCGCACACTTTGAATGATTATAAAGGCAGTGCTTATTAAAGTAGATTTCACTTTCAAAATTGAGCCATCAGCTGTTGAAGTGTGTATACATTTTTTGAGAAACCCTGTTCCAAATAAAAATTATATACAAAATTGCTGAAACCGTTTTTGGCTCAGTAGATAAGAGTATCGGTCTGCGAACTGAAGGGTCTCAGGTTTGATTCCGGTCAAAGGCATGTACATTGGTTGCAGGCACATCACAGGTAGAGGGTGTGCAGGAGGCAGCTGGTTGATGTTTCTCTCTTATCGATGTTTCTAGCTCTCTATCCCTCTCCTATCCTCTCTGTGGAAAATCAATAAAATATATTTTAAAAAATTATATACAAAATTAATTACTTAACAAAACACCTTATAAACCAAGCAGAAGGTCTGGAGGGCAACATGGCCTGCTCTACTAGTCTTCTAGTCTTTGGTTTTTTTTGTTTGTTTGTTTTTTAGTGTGTCTTTACCATTGAAAATATCACGTGTCCCTTTCCTCCCCATTGACCCCAACCAACCCAACACTGCCCCCCAGGCCTTCACCGCACTACTGTCTGTGTCTATGGGTTATGGGTATATGTATATAAGTTCATTGATTAATCTCTTCCCACCCCACTCCCCGTCCCTCTGAGACTTGACAGTCTGTTCCATGCTTCTATGTCTCTGAATTTATGTTGTCCATCAGTTCTTTTTGTTCATTAGATTCAACATATTGGTGAGATTGTATGGTATTTATCTTTCTCTGACTGACATATTTCACTTAGCATAATAGTCTCTGTCCTTCCATGCTGTTTCAAAGTGTAAGAGAGCCTTCTTTTTCACAGCTGCATAGTATTCTGTTGTGTAAATGTACCACAGCTTTTCTATCAACTCATCTACTGATGGGCATTTGGGCTGTTTCTAAATCTTAGCTATTGTAGATAGCAGTGCTGCCTGGCCAGCGTGGCTCAGTGCGTGAGCATCCACCTATGAACCTTGTGGCTCAGTGGTTGAGCATCGACCTATGAAGCGAGGTCACGGTTCGATTCCCAGCCAGGGCACATACCCCTGTTGTGGGCTCAATCCCCAGTGTGGGGTGTGCAGGAGGTAGCCCATCAATGATTCTCATCATTGAAGTTTCTGTTTCTCTCCCTTCCTCTCTGAAATCAATAAAAAAGTATTTTTTAAAAAGCAATGTTGCTGAAACCGGTTTGGCTCAGTGGATAGAACGTGGGTCTGCAGACTGAACTGTCCCAGGTTCGATTCCGGTCAAGGGCATGTGCTTTGGTTGCAGGCATGTGCAAGGGCATGTACAAGAGGCGACTGATCGGTGATTCTCTCTCATTGATATTTCTAACTCTCTATCCCTCTCCCTCTCTGTAAAAAAATCAATAAAATATATTTTTTAAAAATCAATCCATCAATAAAAAAGCGATGCTATGAACATAGGTGGTGTTGTTGTTTTTTAAATATATTTTATTGATTTTGTACAGAGAGGAAGGGAGATAGATAGAGAGTTAGAAACATCGATGAGAGACAGTCATTGATCAGCTGCCTCTTGCACACCCCCTACTGGGGATATGCCTGCAACCAAGGTACATGCTCTTGACCGGAATCGAACCCGGGACCCTTCAGTCCCCAAGCCGACGCTCTATCCATTGAGCCAAACCTGTCTCGGCTGAACGTAGGTGTTAATACATTCTTTCTGATTGGTATTAAAGGAACCACCAAGCATTGGGCACTGAGCTAAGCTCATTTCATTCTCTTAATCACTCTTGGAGGAGTGTATTGCTGTATTCCATGGTGGAGCAGGCATGGAGGGTCGGTGGTGACGGGAGGACCACCATAATCTCTATTGCTCCCCCCCAACTCTTTATGGTGAATAAACATTTTGGTTTTATATTTTTAATATATTTGTATTGATTTCAGAGAGGAAGGAAGAGAGAGATAGAAACATCAGTGATGAGAGAGAATTATTGATTGGCTGACTCCTGCATGCCCCTCCACTGGGAACTGAGCCCGAAACCCAGGCATATGCCCCTGACCCGAATCGAACCCAGGGCCCTTCAGTCCTCAGGCCGATGCTCTATCCACTGAGCCAGACCGGCTAGGGCATCACCTCAGTTGTGTGTGTATTTTAAGTGTGCTCTTGTGCAAACAGGAACTCCAAAAAAGTGCCCTGGGTACCACCCTTCCTGAAGCCAGATTCTTTTCTAAAGACCTTTCACGCCAAGACATGAAGTCATGGACTTGTATGCATTTAACCCAAACTTGGAACATCTCCAAAACCCTTGCTGTGTCCCTGCAGGGTTATTTCCCTAACAAGACCAGAAAATAATTTAGAGAACAGAAAGAGGGCCATATTGAGTGAACGGGCCCTTCAGGAAATAAAGGGTGCCACCGAAGGGCATCAGACTTATTGTGCTTGATGTATTTTACCAAAATAGGACCCCCAGTGGGCAGCCAGTGGGACTTCCCTATTGATGGACCAATTTAGTCCCCAAACACTCAACGCTTCCATTTTTATTAAGTGTGACCCACCCACTTCTTTTTGGTTCCCAGTTCACTTTTTCCTTAGTTTAACCATGAGTAAGGTATGACCTAACTTTGTACTTGCTTTTACAGTCACTTTGGTTTCTACAAAAGGGAAAAAAAAAAGCTGCCTATGGCTGCATGCCCGTCTTAAATCTCTGGGGGAAAGTTAGTTTTGAAATTATTTTTAAAACCTCGTTACCATGACGTATCATTGGGACATATATATATATATATATATATATATATACACACACACACACACACACACACACACACACACATTTTCCCCCCCAATTGATTTCAGAGAGGAAGAGAGAGATAGAAACACCAATGATGAGAGAGAACCATTGAATCATTGATTGGCTGCCTCCTGTACATCCCACACTGGGAATGCAGCCAAAATCTGGGGCATGTGCCCTGACCAGGAATCCAACCGTGACCACTGATCCACACCAGCAGGGTTAATTGGGACTTTAAAAAAAAAAAAAAATATATATATATATATATATATATATATATATATATATATATATATATATATATATATTGTTTCAGAGATGAAGGGAGAGGGAGAGAGAGAGAAACATCAATGATAAGAGAATCCTTGATTGGCTGCCTCCTGCATGCCCCCTACTGGGGATCAAGCCCACAACCCAGGCCTGTGCTCTTGACCAGAATCAAATCTGCGACCCTTCAGTCAATAGGCTGCCGCTCTATCCACTGAGCCAAACCAGCTAAGGCCCATTGTAGTTTTTTATTTTTTTAATTAAATTATTATCTGTGTACATATCTTACCATTACCCTCCCTCCCATACATACCCTCCCTCCCCAGAGTTTTGTGTCCATTGGTTGTACTTATATGCATGTATACAAGTCCTTCGGTTGCCATTGGAGTTTTTTTAAAAAAACTTTTTGTAGATATTCTATGGGTGTTACTGATCTAACTTTCTGCATCTTGTTTCCACGTAATGATATGAACTTGGGAAATTTCTCATATTTCTCATTTTAGCGACAAAAGGAGTTTATAATAGCCGCCATCTACTGAGCACTTACTGTGTGCCAGACGCTGTTGTAAAGCTCCTCACAACAATCTTAGGAAGTCTCTTCTGTCCTCAGCCCCATTTTACAACTGGGAAAACAGCTTGGAGTAGAGAGAGGCCTAATTTACTCGCCTAATATAACACAGCTTGCAAGTGGCTGAACACTATGCTACCACTCATTGCTTCTCACACTTGAGTGTGCACCAGAATTCCCTAGAGGGCTTGTCAAAACACAGAGTTTCTGATTCAGTGGGTCAAGGATTTGCATTTCTAAAAAGTTTCCAGGTGATGCATTCTTCCTTGGGTGGGCTGGAGCCGTTTTGTTTATCCATTCTTCCGTGGGTGGACATTTGGGTTATTTCCATGGAGCATACTTTTAAGAACCTCTACAATAACTTATAATTGTGCCCTATGGCTCAGTGGATAGAGCATCGGCCTGCGGACTGAAGGGTCCCAGGTTCAATGCTGGCCAAGGGCATATGCCCGGGTTGCGGGCTCAATCCCCAGTAGGGGGCATGCAAGAGGCAGCCAATAGATGATTCTCTCTCATCACTGATGTTTCCCTCTCCCCCTTTCTCTCTAAAATCAATAAATATATATATATATTAAAAAAACAACAACTTGTAATTGTTTTCATAGTTTTCCAGCAGAGAAAAAAGGGTCTTGATTACCTGTCAACAGATTGTGCAGTTAATTGTAGAAGGAATCTAGGAGTCATTAACACTTTGTAATAAAGAGTAACATCCATTGGTTCTTACGATGTGCTGGACACTGGAATGGGCACTTTCTATCTATGCCTTATCTCCTCCAGTCCTTATACCAGTCTTAAGGACTACTTTCCTCCCAATTTACAGTGAGGACATGGGATTTGGAGAGATTAGGGAATTTGATCCGACTTGTATACCAGCAAGTAGGAATTTGTGAGGTCCAAGTCAAGCCTACTTGAATTCCTGGCCTGGTTGCTCAGTTGGTTAGATCATCCCAATATGCCAAGGCTGTGGGTTCGACCCCCAGTCAGGGCACCTACAAGAATTAATAAATAAATGCATAAATAGGTGGAACAATTAATCGATGTTTCTCTGTCTTTCTCCCTTCCTCTTTTTAAGGTTGAAAAAAAAAAGACTGCTTGAACTCAATAGCCCTTAGTTGACTAAGACACTACAGACTTTGCACAGTAAATGTTCAGTAAATAAATGAACTAAAGACGCTCTTTTATATCGAAAGCATAGCTACTCAATGGAAGACCTCTTGACATTTTAAAGGCATGAGTCACTAGGTTTCCCTGTGTAGCAAAGGGTGTAAAGCACGAAGGAAGGAAGATCCAGCGCCTTAGAGGGTGAATTTCTAGGGAAATTTCAAACAGACTGCTGACAGCCACTGCGGTGGGGACGAGATTGACGCCAGCAGTGGTGGGTGGGGATACTGGAGGTAAAAAAAGAAACTCAACAACACTAAGTTCTTTCTGACAGGGCTGCTCTGGGAAGACTACTTCCACTTCACAGCATTGGAACGTAACTCACAAATCACAAAATTAACCCGCTTCACGTGTACATTCAGTGGTTTGTGGTGTATTCACAGAATTGTGCCACCGTCACCACCTCTAACTTTAGAACATTTTCATCACGCCAGAAAGAAACCCTGTCCACATTCACAGACACCTGCCATCCATTCTCCCCCAGCTCCAGACAACGACTGGTCTACTTTCTGTCTCTACAGAACTGTTCTGCACAGTTCACGTAAATGGAATCGTACAATTTGTGGTCTTTTAAAAAATATATATTTTATTGATTTTTTTACAGAGAGGAAGGGAGAGGGAGAGAGAGTTAGAAACATCGATCAGCTGCCTCCTGCACACTCCTGCTGGGGATGTGCCTGCAATCAAGGTACATGCCCGTGACCAGAATCAAACCTGGGACCCTTCAGTCCGCAGGCCGACGTTCTGTCCACTGAGCCAAACCGGTTAGGGCTAATTCGTGGTCTTTTGTGGCTTTTTTCACTTAGCAAAGTGTTGCCAGAGAGCATCCTCATTGTAGTGAGTGTCAGTGCCTCATTCTTTCCCTTCCCACCCCAGCCCCAGCACTTTATCAAGGTATGATTTACCCAAAGGAAATGCACAAATAGTGTGTATAGCTTCACAATGTTTTTTTTTTTAAATACTATATATTTTTATTGATTTCAGAGAAGAAGGGAGAGGAAGAGAGAGAGAAACATCAATGATAAGAGAGAATGCGAATCACTGATCAGCTGCCTCCTGCACATCCCCTGTTGGCATTTGAGTCTGCAGCCTGGGTGGGTATGTCTGGGAATGGAATAGTGACCTCCTGGTTTACAGGTCTATTTTCAACCACTGAGCAACACCAGCTGGGCAGTTCTCAAGCAGAATTTTAAGAGAGCTCTCTGGAGTGCTGAAAATATGCTATACCTTGATCTCAGTGGAGGTCAAACAAGTATATACACAAGTAAAACGCTGTGGAGCTGAGCTTGGCTGATGTGGCTCAGTGGTTCAGTGTCGACCTATGAACCAGGAAGTCACAGTTGGATTCCGGGATTGTGGGCTTGATCCCTTTTCAGGGCATGAGAGTCACTGATTAACTGCCTCTCATGCCCTGAAAAGGGATCAAGCCCACAATCTCTCTCTCATCGTTGATGTTTCTCTCCCTCTCTTCCTCTCTGAACTCAATAAAAATAAGTATTTTTAAAAATTTTTTGTCAAGAGCACATAAGATAAAATTTGAATTTTTTTCAAATTGATTTTGAGAGCGCGAGAGAAACATTGGTTGCCTCCTACAGGCACCACAGCTGGGGATTGAACCCACAATCAGGGTATGTGCCTTGACATACACTTGTTCCACCTATTTTGTGAATTCATTGGTTGATTCCTGTATGTGCCCTGAGCAGGGATTACCCCTGCAACCTTGGCCTATCAAAGGATGCTCTAACCAACTGAGCTATCTGGCCAAGGCTAGTCTGATTTTTTTTAACCAGTTTTGCATCCCTGGAATAAACCCCTCTTGATTATCCTATCTAATAAAAGAGTAATATGCAAATTGACCATCACTCTAACACACAAGATGGCTACCCTCATGTGGTCAAAGGTGGTCACCACAAGATGGCCAGAAGGGGAAGGCAGTTGGGAAAGACCAAGCCTGCATGGGAGGACAGTTTGGGGGGGAACAGGCTGGCAGGGAGAGCAGTTAGGGGCAATCGGGTTGGCAGGGGAGCAGTTAGACATAGATCAGGATGTCAGGGGAGTGGTTAAGGGGTGATCAGGCTGGCAGGCAGGAGCGGTTAGTGTGCCAGCAGCTGGGGGAAGAAGGCCTGCTTTTGCATGAATTTCATGCATCTGGCCCCTAGTCATATATAACACTTTTTATGTTGTATCAGATTCTGTTTGCTATAATATCTTGCTAAGGATTTTGCCTTGATTTTTACTTTGCCCATTACTTGGGTTTTTGTTGTTGATGATGCATTGTAGGCCTTCTACATATATTCTGGATATTAACCCCTTATCAGATATGATTTGCAAATGTTTCCCCTTCTGTAGATTGCCTTTTCAGTCCGGTAATTGCGTTCTTGGATGCACAAGTTCTAAATGTTGGTGTAACCCAATGTATCCTCCTTTTGTTGCCTGTGCTTTTGAAGAAATTACCAAGTCTAATGACATAAGTGTTATGTCATGTTTTCTTCTAAGAGTTTTTTAGGTTTATGTCTTTGATCCCTGTTGAGTTTTTTTTTTTTTTGTTTGTTTGTTTGTTTTATATCCGATTTTCTCAACACCATTTGTTGAAAAGACTGTCCTTTCCCCAGTGAATGGCCGTGGCATCTTTGTTGAAAACCATTTGACTGTATTTGTTAGGTTTTATTTCCGGGCTCCCTATTCCTCCCTTGCTTTATGGCTGAACACTATTCCATTGTGCGGCTGTACCGTTTTTATTTATATTTTATCTCGGTGTTGAGTCACTGGGCATTGTAACATCCGAGCCCGTGCCCAGGATCCTGCCTCTGATCCTAGGAACACTGTGCCCTTGGAAATAGTGTCTATGTTGCTTCTTACAAAGAAAGCTGGCAGGCTCGGTTGCTGAGCTCTCTCCCTCTGACAAACCTCTCAGCAAAACAGAAGTAATTCGCTTTGCAAGCCCCACTGCTGATGGATCAGGAATACCCCCTACCAGTGTCTCTGGAGAATGTGCCCACCCACCACAGGTGCCAAATGTCCGCGTGGTACGAAAGCTTCACGTTTGTTTCTGGGAAGGAAGGAGAATACCAGCTGGCGTTTCTGAGCTCCTCCTGGTGCTTTCTGTCACGATCATTATCTCATTATCTCATCCATTTATTAAGGACTTGATGTCTAAATGCACCAGAGATAGAAACATCACCTGGTATATTCAACCCCTCCACCTCGGTGCTGTTATTCACTGGGGCGGACTTTGAGGCTCTGAGGAGTTAGTAACTTGGCCAAGGCCACAATGCTGGTTGCCTGGAGGAGCCCAAGAATGAGCAAAGCGCACAGCGTAGGGGTTCCTCATTTTAACTGAGGGTCCGATGCCCCAGGCCCTGGCAACCGTGGGCCTGGGAGCTTCTCGCAACCCGGGCTCCCGGACCGGCACGCGGCCCCCAACGACCGCTTTCCGCCCTGTCGCAGACCTCAGCAGACATCAGAGACCCGACCTCCCTCCAGGTGCAAGGCCAGTTCTGCGGCTGGAAAGCCTGAGTGCAGAAAGGAAGAAGCTGGGTGCTTTTTTTTACTCCCTCTCTCGGAAATTCCGCCCCCTTCTCCGTGGAAACTCGGCGTCCGTAGCCGCGCGGTCGCCAGGGGCGGAGCTCCGCGCCGCAGCTCCTCCCCGAGAGTCTGCAGCGGCTGCCAGGCGGGGAGCCGCCGCGGCCAGCCGACCCTCTCCGTCCCTCTTCGCGGCTGCGCTCCCTTCCCGGCCACGTCCGTTCCCCCCAAACCACATCTTCGGGGCGCTCTCCGCCGGGTCCTCGGCCGCCGGGGCGCACGGGGCGTCGGGGCCCGAGCCGCGCGCTCCCCCCGCGGCCGCGCTGATTGGCCGCTCCGGGCCGTCCCCGCCGGGGCGGGCGGGCTCCGGCGGAAAGTTCTCCGTGTTCGGGGGGAAGTTGGACCTTCCGAGACTCGGAGACAGCAGCTCCCGAGGCTGCGGGGCTCTGTGCGCGGCCATGGAGGAGCCCCCTTTGCGGGAGGAGGAGGTGGAGGAGGAGGAGGAGGACGAGGCTGGGCCCGAGGGGGCCCTGGGCAAGAGCCCCTTCCAGCTGACGGCCGAGGACGTGTACGACATCTCCTACGTGGTGGGCCGCGAGCTGATGGCGCTGGGCAGCGACCCCCGGGTGACGCGGCTGCAGTTCAAGATCGTCCGCGTGCTGGAGATGCTGGAGGCGCTGGTGGACGAGGGCAGCCTGGCGGCCGAGGCGCTGCGGATGGAGCGGGACAGCCTGCGGAAGGAGGTGGAGGCGCTGCGCAGAGGGGGCGCGGCGGCCGGCCCCGAGGTGAGTGCGGGGGCCGGGGGCGCGGGGGGGGGGGCAGTGCCCGCTGGCACGGAGGCCCCTTCCCCTCCCCCCCCCTTTTAAAACAATTTATTGATTTTTTACAGAGAGAAAGAGAGAGGGATAGAGAGTTAGAAACGTCGATGAGAGAGAAACATCAGTCAGCTGCCTCCTGCACACCTCCTACTGGGGATGTGCCCAGCTACCAAGGTACATACATGCCCTTGACATTGAACCTGGGACCCTTCAGTCCGCAGGCCAACGCTCTATCCACTGAGCCAAACCGGTCAGGGCTCGCGCTCTCTTTTAAAATTCATTTTTAAAATTGATTTTAGAGAGGGAGAGGGAGAGGGAGAGTTAGAAACATCCATGATGAGAGCGAATCGTTGATTGTCTGCCTCCTGCACGCCCCACACAAACCGGGCTTAGGCCCTGACCAGGAATCATGATCTCCTGGGTCATAGGTCGACATTCAACCCCTGAGCAGCACCGGCTGGGCCCCTTTCCTCTCTTGACTATCAAAGCCCCTCCAAGCAGAGCACCTGCGAGTGTCCAGCCCTCAGACTGGAAACACTGTGACTGGAAACACTTGTGGGGCAGTCACCAGGTGCTGGGCCCTGCCCTGGCTGGTTGTGAATCGGTGGCCGCTGGCATGTTTTACCATGACGGAGAGCAGTGGTTCTCACGCTTTGGCAAGCATCACCGTCACCTGGTGTTCTCTAAAACACAGACCGCAGGGCCCCAGCCCCAGAGTTTTGTTTTTTTGTTTTTTTGTTTTTTTTTTTTGTTTCTTTTTAAAAAAATAGATTTTAGTGATTTTTTACAGAGAGGAAGAGAGAGGGAGAGAGAGTTAGAAACATCGACCAGCCGTCTCCTGCACACCCCCCACTCGGGATGTGCCCGCAACCAAGGTACATGCCCTGGACCAGATTCGAACCTGGGACCTTTCAGTCCGCAGGCCGACGCTCTATCCGCTGAGCCAAACCGGTTTTGGCCCAGCCCCAGAGTTTCTGATTCAGTAGGTCAGGACTGAGACCTGAGGATGTGTGTCTTAAACGAGCTTCCAGATAATGTTGATGCTATTGGTCCAGGCATCACACTGTGAGTGTCTTCGACCTAGATGAAGAAGTAAAGTTTGACTAAAGAGAAATTCGTGTTTATGACCACAAAAAAGACCTGTGTGAGAATATTCAGAGTAGCTTTATTCATAATTGTGCCAAAACTGGAAAGAATCCAAATGCACTGGAGAAATGGCTGAGTTTTTAAATGCTGGTATATCCATACAATGGAACACTACACCGCTCCGAAAAAGAACAGAGTGCTTATACACACAACTGTGTGGATGACCCTCCCAGGTGTTGCATTGAAAAACAGGAGGAGCCGAAACCGGTTTGGCTCAGTGGTAGAGCGTTGGTCTGCGGACTGAAAGGTCCCGGGTTCGATTCCGGTCAGGGGCATGTACGTTGGTTGCGAGCACATCCCCTGTAGGGGGTGTGCAAGAGGCAGCTGGTCGATGTTTCTCTCTCATCGATGTTTCTAGCTCTCTCTCTTTCTCCCTTCCTCTCTGTAAAAAATCAATAAAATATATTAAAAAAACAAACAAAAAGAAAACAGGAGTAGCTAGGCACAAAAGACAGCCTACCATATGTGAGATTTGAGGACAGGCAGAATAATCTTTACTTACAGAGGACAGATTGGCGCTAACCTAACCCCAAGGCGGGGACAGTAAGAGGGAGCAGAGAGGAAATGTACTGTGGCTTTGTGGATATAAACATATGGCAAATATCAAGCAGTAAATTCATGAGTACTAATATGTTTTACTCCATGTGTGTTATACCTCCATTTTACAAGATTACATTTCAGGAATCAACTTACCCAGCTTAACATGAAGCACTGTCATATTTCCTACTTTATGAGTTTTTAAATTCTTGTTGCAACTCACTAAGTTAATATCATTCTCAGTATAGGGTCTTCAGCCACAGTTTTAAAAATAAGATCTGCCTTAAAGGGCTCTCTCACTTAATCTTTATACTATACTAGAGGCCCATGCAGGACATTCACCCTCTCACAGTCCGGGAGCCCTCAGAGGGATGTCCAGCTGCCAGCTTAGGCCTGCTCCCCATGCCTAAGCCGGCAGTTGGACATCTTTAGTGCTGCTGTGGAGGCGGGAGCCTGACTTCTGGCTGAGTAGCGCTGACCACCAGGGGGAAGCTCCTGTGTTGAGCATCTGCCCACTGGTGGTCAGAGCATGTCATAACGACCGGTCATTCCACCGTTCAGTCAATTTGAATATTAGTTTTTTATTATATAGGTTTATACCCATTTGACAGAAATGGAGGCATAGAACAGGCAAATAATTTATTAAGAACTTGGAGCAAGGAGGAGGTGGAGGCAGGGTCTGAGCTCAGAGGTGCTGGTTTTAACCACACCATTCTGAAATGGTGCTTGGACCTTATGCTGCACCAGCATTTGTTGAGTGGCTGCACTGTGTGCGCTCTGGGCCATGGAAGTAGATCAGATGAGGGCCCTGCGTTCTGGAGGCTCACAGCTGGAGGGAGGGGTAAGACACACATTCCTCCAGAACTGGGATCCAAAGTCACAGACTGAGGAGCAAGCCCTGGAAGGCCATCGGCCAGGGTCACTGAAATTCCCAGGGAAGAGTGAAGGTTTCTCCTGCTGCACTCGAATTTCACCTACTCCTTAGCCACAGCCACAATGACATTTACAAATAAGGCCTAATATATACAGTTCTACAATATATATATATATATATATATATATATATACCTCACCTGAAGATATTTTTTCATTGATTTTTAGGGAGAGTAGAAGAGAGAGGGAAAGACAGAGAGAAACACTGATGTGAGAGAAGTACATTGATTGATTGCTTCCCGGACAGGGCCTGGGCCTGCAACCAAGGTACGCGCCCTTGGCCGGAATCGAACCCGGGACTCTTGAATCTGCAGGCCCACGCTCTATCCACTGAGCCAGTCTGGCTAGGGCTCTACTTTTGTGTCATCGTAGGAGGGGGTTGTATATCATGATGAGCAGCCTGGCTTTTGAGGCTCGAGAGCAGTTCAGGGATTCACCCAGCACCGCAGCTCACGCCCTGCGCCCTCCTCCCGACACCTTCAGTTCCAGGCACATGGACACGGAGGAGGCCCCACCAGGGACCATGGACAGTGTGACCTCCCATGGGGGCACAGTGGACAGGCTGCGTCAGCCAGCAGTTGAGATGGCACATTTTCCTCCCAAACCACAGTCTTCAGAATGGGGGGGGGGGGGGGGGGGAGGCAGAGAATGAATTTTTAGTTCCATTCGACAGTTCATGCAAATAGGTCTTATTTTTTATTTATTCTTCTAAATTATTATTTCAACTGTGATCACGTACACATAAAACTCACCGCTTTAACCATTTAAAAAATCAGTAGCATTCAGTGCATTCACATGGTTGTGCAACCATCACACCATCCTCTCCACAACTCTTCATCTTGCAAAACTGCAACTCTGTGCCTGTGAAATAGCAAGTCCCCGTTTCCCCCTCCCCCCAGCCTTTGGTAACTTCCGCTCTACTTTCTATCTCTATGAATTTGCCTATTTTAGGTACTTCCTGTAAGTAGACTCATGATATTTGTCCTCTAGTGGCTGGCTTCTTTCACTTAGCATAATGTCTTTAAGGTTCATCCATGTGTCACAACCTTCTTCCTGTTTTTTATTTTTATTTTTTATTTATTTTAAAAAAATATATTTTATTGATTTTGTACAGAGAGGAAGGGAGAGAGATAGAGTTAGAAACATTGATGAGAGAGAGTCATTGATCAGCTGCCTCTTGCACACCCCCTACTGGTGATATGCCCGCAACCAAGGTACATATCCTTGACCGGAATCGAACCCGGGTCCCTTCAGTCCCCAAGCCGACGCTCTATCCATTGAGCCAAACTGGTTTTGGCCTTCTTTCTGTTTTTTAAATCCTCCCTGGATGACATGCTGAGAGAAAGAGAGAGAGAGAGAGAGAGAGAGAGAGAGAAAGAGAGAAACATAGATGTGAGATTGGTTGCTTCCCATATGCGCCCTGACCTGGGCCACGGTGCAAGCCTGCAACCAAGGGACACGCCTTTGACGGGAACCAAACCCGGGACCCTTAGCCCACGGGCCGACGCTCTATCCACTGAGCCAAAGGAGCCCCGGCACTTTTCTTGGAGAATGGTACCTTTGCTTCTTTCCCACCAGCCAAGCACTCCCCACAGGCCACACCCCCTCTCGTTAGGGCCCCTGGGAGTCACCAAACCAGAGGCCGTAGCTTTCTGGGGTGGACAGCCCCTCCTCCCGAGGGAAGCTGCATCAGTGACATCTCTTCTCCAGGGGAGCCTGGGACCAGACAAGATGGTGGTGGACCTGACGGACCCCAACCGGCCGCGCTTCACGCTGCAGGAGCTGCGGGACGTGCTGCAGGAGCGCAACAAGCTCAAGGCGCAGCTGCTGCTGGCGCAGGAGGAGCTGCAGTGCTACAAGAGGTGGGCTCTGCCACCAGCGAGGGCGCCTTCCCACGTCCCTCACACGCCCCCTGTTTGTTCCAGCGCCATTCAGACAGCTTCTCCACGCCCACGGTGCCCAGCAGTGGGGTGTAGCGTGACCGAAACAGAGCAAGTGCGTGCCATCTAGGGAGACAGGCAGGCTGGCAGCAAGGAAGCCTGAAATAAGCACTCAGGACCCTGGTGTCAGTGCTCTCAGGAACATAACGCCAGGGGTGTGACCGAGACCCAAGTGCCGAGGGAGTTGGTGGGGAGGGACTTGTTTTATTTATTTATTTATTATTTTTAAAAACACTTCTTTATTTTTTTTATTCATTTTTATTTTCTTTAAATATATATTTTTATGGATTTCAGAGGAAGGGAGAGGGAGGAAAAAATAGAAATATCGACGATGAGAGAGAATCATTGATCCGCTGCCTCCTGCAACATGTGCCTTCACAGGAATCGAACCCAGGACCTTTCAGTCCTCAGGCTGACGCTCTAGCCACTGAGCCAAACCGGCGGTTAGGGCATAATACTTTTTTATTGATTTGAGGGGAGGGAGGGGGAGAGATAGAAACATTAATGATGAAAGAGAATTATTGATTGGTTGCTTCCTGCATGTCCCACACTGAGGATCAAGCCCACAACCCGGGTACGTGTGCCCTGGCCTGGAATAGAACCGTGACCTCCTTGTTCATAGGTCTATATTCAACCACAAAGCCAAGGGAGGGACTTGCTTTCAATTGGGTAGTTAGGGACAGCCCCTCTGGGGTGACAGGAAGCAGACAACCATGTATAGATTCAGTAGGACCAGAATGGAGTGAGAAGTTCAGAGAAGTTCAAAGTCAAGTGGGAACCAGCGTGGCCAGTTAAAGAGACCCAGCAGGGGGGAACCTGAAACGCAGGAGAGGGTGGTCCAGAAGAGACTGGGGACTGGGGACTGGTGCCTTGTCCGCCACAGGCAAGAGCTCCGATTTTATTGTAAGTGGGGAAGGTTTAATCGAGGGAATGACAAGGTCTGATGTACCGTTTTAAAGGATCGGTGAGGTGATTTTGATAACTGAACTATTTGGTTATGAGAGGATATCGTTGTCCTTTGGAAATACACACTGAATTCTTTAGGAATAAAAGTGTAAGCTGTTTCCAACTCTCAAGTGGTTCAAAAAGAAGGTAGATGCATGGAGGGTGGGGTGGGTGGGTGGGTGGAAAGATGAGATAAATGGGATAAACATAAGTAATCGGAGGATCTGGGATAAACTATGTGGGAAGTCTTTTTTATTAAAAAAATAATAATGACGATGAAGGTCCTTCACTTTCAGAACTGCACCAGTAAGAGGTCCGCAATAAAACAACCCATTTGTCTGCCCTCCCTTTCCCAGTGGCCTGATTCCAGCACGAGAAGGCCCAGCGGGAAGGAGAGGAAAGGACTCCGTGGTTGCCAGGGCCAGCGGCGCCAGCAGAAACAAGGAGGAGAAGACCATCATACGGAAGCTGTGAGTCACCGTGCTGCCCACTGCTGCTGCCGAATGCGTGGGGAGCGGAGTGGGGGGAAGGGAGGCAGGCCAGCCACCCGGGTGGGCAGGTCCTGCTCTCCCGGGGGTAGTGCCGCAGCCAATAAGAAAACTCAGTTCCAGCCCTGGCCAGTGCTTCTCAGTGGTTAGAGTGTCAGCCTGAGGACCGAAGGATCTCAGGTTCGATTCCTGGTCAAGGGCATGTACCCGGGTGCATCCCTGAGCCCTCTCAGGGTGCGTGTGGGAGGCAACCAATTGATGCTTCCCTCTCTCTTCCTTTCCTCTCTCTAAAGTCAAGAAATAAAATTTAAACATATGTATGAGCCCTCAAAATCTGATGTATATTTTGCATTTGCTGCACATTTCAGTAAGACTAGTCTTTTTTTTTTTTAATATATTTTATTGATTTTCTTACAGAGAGGAAGGGAGAGAGATAGAGAGCTAAAAACATCGATGAGAGAGAAACATCGACCAGCTGACTCTTGCACACCGCCTACCGGGGATGTGCCCACAACCAATGTACATGCCCTTGGCCCTTGGAATCGAACCTGGGACCTTCCAGTCCGCAGGCCGAGGCTCTGTTCACTGAGCCAAACCGGTTTCGGCAAGACTAGCCTTTCTAAAGGGCTCAAAAGCGAAATGTAGCTAGTGGCCGCCATATTGGATATCAGGCTTTAACCAGTACATGATACAATCCTTTGTCTTTTACAATTTTAAATTTTTAAAATCATGATAAAATATGTATAACATAAAATTTATGATTTTAACTATTTGTAAGTGTACAGTTTAGTCATAGTAAGTACATTTACATTTTTAAAAATATATTTTATTGATTTTTTGTACAGAGAGAAAGGGAGAAGGATAGAGTTAGAAACATTGATGAGAGAGAAATATCGATCAGCTGCCTCTTGCACACCCCCCACTGGGGATGTGCCTGCAACCAAGGTACATGCCCTTGAGGGAGATCGAACCTGGGACCTTTCAGTCAGCAGGCCGAGGCTCTATCCACTGAGCCAAACCGGTCAGGGCTACATTTGGATTGTTGTGCAGCCTTCCCCATTACCCATTCCCAGAATTTTTTCATCATCCCATCTTGGAATTCTGGGCTCATTAAACACTAACTTATCGCCCTGGCTGGTTTGGCTCAGTGGATAGAGCGTTGGCTTGTGGACTCAAGGGTCTTGGGTTCGATTCTGGTCGGGGGGCACATGCCCAGGTTGAGGGCTCAATGCCCCGTGGGGGGTGTGCAGGAGGCAGCCAATCAGTGATTCTCTCTCATCATTGATGTTTCTCTCCCTCTCCCTTCCTCTCTGATACCAATAAAAAAAAGATTATAAAAATAAATTATAAATAAATAAATAAACACTAACTCATCAATTCATCCTTTTTCCAGCCTCTGGCAACCACCAATCTACTTTCTTTTTTTTAAAAATTTAAAAAAATATATATATATTTTATTGATTTTTTACAGAGGAAGGGAGAGAGATAGAGAGCTAGAAACATCGATGAGTGAGAGACATCGACCAGCTGCCTCCTGCACACCCCCCACCGGGGATGTGCCCGCAACCAATGTACATGCCCTTGACCGGAATCGAACCTGGGACCCTTCAGTCCACAGACAGATGCTCTACCGCTGAGCCAAACCGGTTTCGGCTAAAAATGTTTTTATTGATTATGAGAGAGAGGAATGAAAAGGAGAGATAGAAACATCAATGAGAGAGGAACATCATTGATGGGCTGCCTCCTGCACAACTTCCACTGGGGATTGAGCCTCCAACCCAGAGATGTGCCCTGACCGTGAGACAGCCGGCTGCCTCTTGGTTCCTGGTCGGTGCTCAACCACTGAGCCACACTGGCTGGCTATTCTACTTTCTGACTTTATGAATTTAATGAGTTGAGGCACCTCATCTTAGTGGAATCACACAGTATTTGGATTTTTGTCTTTGTTCAGTGGATGGAACCAATGGGGAGCCATGGAAGGGCGGAAGCCGGGGGAAGACAGCTCCGCATAGTGACAGAGACATTTGGTTGCTATGCATGGATTGTAGGGGGCGGCAGGGAGGCTGCTGAGGTCTGGACTGGGGGTGGCAGTGGGGGAGATGAACGTGGTGGGGTTAGGGACATATTTGGGGCACGATGACTAAGATGTAGCAGATGGGGGGGCTGGCGCGGGAGGACTTGAGAAAAACTCCCAGGTTCCTGGCTCGAATGACTGGGCAGGAATGATGTCACTTCCTGAGAGAGGGCACTGGGGCGGGGAGGGGGGGATGGCTGAGCCCTGGGGCCTGGCTCCAAACCAGCTCAGGGCTCACACCAGCCGTTGCTGGCAGGGCTGTCAGCAGCACTCAGGGAGTCCTTCTTTGACAAGAAGCAAGAGCCTAGATCCCATCCTGACCTCTCAGCCTCCCCCTCCCCTGCCACGCCCAACCCTGACGAGCTTTGCTACATTCTCATAAATGGAAATAGCGCCCAGATTGTGCTTTCCCGGCAACCCCAGACATCATTGTTCCTTTTCCAAACTTTGCAGGAAAACACTGAAAGTCTGGTATTCAGATAGCTTGGTGTGCTTTATGTCTAATCCAAGAATTCACATGTAGTCTCTTATTTTTTGCAAAGACCCGTCTTACAGTCGTAGGTAGCATTGAGAAGCTAATGCTTCCTCTGCAATAAAAACCACCTAAAATTATCCAATAAAAAAAAAAGGTGGCAGAGTCCATCTGTTTGTATGCCCAGTGGTTAGCGGGTCCGATGCCCCTGCCTTGTCTGTCTGCTCCCTCTGACCCCTCTCTCTCCACCCAGGTTCTCCTTCCGGTCTGGGAAGCAGCCATAGACGTAAGGCGGCGGTTCTCAGATCGTAGAAGACAACCCACCAGGCAGACTTCCCAGCCTGCTCAGGGCCGCCGGACCCACTGCCCTGGCTCATGTGTTTCCCCTCGGCGCCGTCCGAGGAGCGAGGAGGTGAGGTTCTCTCTCATCGCTGTCTCCCTGGCTGCCGAACTGGACACCCCGAAGGCTTGGCCAGGGCAGGGCAAGTGGCACCTAGAAACCAAGAAAGCAGAAGGAAAAGAAAAGAAAAGAAAAAGAAAAAGAAAAAAAAAGGAAAGAAAGCAGAAGGAGAAAAAAAACACAACACAAAAAACAAAAAAACAAAAAAAAAAACGAAAAAAAAAGGAAAAGAAAAGAAAAAAAAAGGAAGAAAAAAAAAAAGGAAAGAAAGCAGAAGGAGAAAAAAACACAACAGGAAAAAAACAAAACAAAAAAAAAAACACGAAAGCAGAAGGAAAGTGTTGGGGCCACACCTGCCCACGCCAGCCGTCGAGGATCTCAGGCTCCGCCTCTCCGGTCCCACACTTGACCTTGCTCACCAGCCCAAAGGGAGAGAGAGAGGCGAGAAAGCTGGAAAGTGTGGTATCGACCTTCCGGGGACTTCACTGACATGTAGTGACTTTCTGACTTTGGTAACCTGACTTTCTTTACGAGGAGATTTTTATATTAAAGTAAAACGACTTCCCTGCTCTAAGTATGTTAGAGTTGTCTCCTAGCCTGCATGACCTTGTGTAAGGCACTGTCTCCTTTCAGGGTCTGGGTTCCACGTCTGTCAGCTGTGTGTGTGTGTGTGTGTGTGTGTGTGTGTGTGTGTGTAGGCATCCGGTGTCTCTCTGGCGCATTGACTCTAAGCGATGTACCACAATTCTGTGCGTCGGTGTGAGAGAGAAAATGCTACAGATTATAACATGGAGGCACTATGGATTTTAAAACTCATTCTGATTACAGAGATGTTCAATGCGAAAAAGATGTACATTTAGGAATTGACGAAGTGCAGGGTATAGGGAGTGGGTGCCTGCCCTAGGCAGAGAAATGAATGAGCCCGGGGAGCGGTGTCCTGGGTAAAGGCGGCTGGCGCACTGCTGCAGGGACCTCCTCCTCCACTCCGTCACAGCCCGGGGCTGGTACTCCCCCTCCACCCCCCTCCCCGTTTACAGAACAGGAAACTGAGACTCCAGGAGCTGGCTGCCCAGGACGTAAATGCCTAAGGCCTGGTTCTTACCGAGGAGCTGTGCAAGCCGAGTTCTCCGAAAATCCCTGACGTGAATCACAAACGCAATCCGTGGCAGGCCTGGCCTGCGCCGTCCGAGCTCCCCTGCGGGCTGGGTGGTTATTCCCACGGCCGCCCAGGTCCCGGCACTGCGGGGCTGAGGGACTTGGCCAAGGTCCCAGCTCGAAAGTGATGGGAAAGAGGCTCAGGTGCAGACTTCCCAGCCCAGTCCTCAACCCCTTGGTGTCCTGAGAAAAGTCTGCCACCTTTCAGAGTCTGATCAAGGATGCCATCTCAGCAGTCTCAGGTCAAGGCCCCAACTCCGAACTCTGTAGGACACCGCCACCCTGACTGGGGGCTCCCCTCTGAGTGTTGGGGGGATTCCTGCACCTCGGGGGTGAGGGCCAACTTGGGGAACCCCCTGGGCCAGACCGAGGGACAGTGAGAGCAGAGGAGAGGGGGAGGGGCGGCTCCTGGGACTGAGTGTGGAGTCCAGCTGAGATCTGCCCTCCACAGGCAGACCCAGCCTCCATGGGCGGCATCAGCCTAACATCCCCAAGCCCCGACTGCACCGCTGACCTCCAAGCCGAGGCTGTAACAGTCCATGGAGTGTACCCCCAGGAGCCCCGCAGAGCAGGCAGGCGCAGAGGCGGCTCCCACTCAGACAGGCTTCAGAGGACCTGTCCGGGGGACCACTGACCCCCTCTCGCAGATGGTGCTGGAAGCGTGTCCTGCTACAGAACCAAGGACGCCGCCCAGTCCCACTCTGCTGCGCGAACCAACAGCCCATGGGCGGCTGGCAGGAGGGACTCCCAGCCGAGGCAGCGCGGCTGGTCCCACACCAAACCCAGGGCCTCAGCAACCATCACAGGCTCATGTGTGCCCACCGCGTGCCGGGCACAAACCTGTCTTCGGGCTCCGTGACCCCGTCTGCAGACGAAGCAATGTCCCTTAGGGGGACATGCACTGAAACCGACGCCTGAGGGGGACGGCCCTCGGCAAAACCCCGAAACCCCCCCCCTCCATCCGCCTCGTAAGAAACACACACACAGGTGGCCTCGCCTGGCAATAAATATTTTAATTTTTGTTTCATTTTTATGGTGACAAATAATTTTCAAGTTTATTTCCTTTTTTTTTTTTTTTTTTAAATACAAAGCTAAACCACAAACAGGTACAACCGAGACGTTTTACTTCACATTGACACGCTCCGTCGGATCCTCCTCCAACTGGCTGACCTCTGACCAGGCAAGTGTGGGGCGGGGGGAAGACGTTCCTAGGTAGCACCGTCGTGAGGCTGGGGTGCATGGGGGTGGGGGCTGGGGCTGGGGGGGGGGGCACCAAGGTCGAGCACACCTGTCTCCGTTCACATTTACCTGGGACCAGGGGGTCCGGGGGACCCCGGGTGGTGGTTCCAGACCCCAGGCCCCCTGGACTGCAGGTGGACAGAGTGAGCATCGGTCCCCCTTCAGGAGGGAGGGGGCAGCTACCTACGCCTCCTGCCATCACAGGCATCACCGTCAAGGTGAAAACTGGAACCCTTAGCCCTGATCCCTGGGTGCTGCACCTGCCCCCTCCCTGTGGGGTGGGGCCTGCACTCCAGGGCTTGTGGGCTTGCCCTCGGTTCCCGGCTGCGCGGTCTGCGGGGTGCAGGGAGAACGCCAGGTGGTCTGACAGACAGCGTGACGGCAGGGCTGGACCTTTCAACCCGGCAGAATCGGGCCACAGGGCTGGGGGTGAGGGTGGCTATGTCGGGGGGGGGGGGGGGGGGGGAGAATTGGATAAGTAATTTCTGGTCCCACTACAAAACTTTATTTTTTATTAGAATAGAGTACCATCTCAAATCTCTTCTATAAAAAAAAAACCAAAAAAAACCAAAAAAAAACCAAACCCAAAGTAAAAAGGAAAAAAAAGAAAAAAGAAAAAAACGCAGCCACGCCACTCACTGTATGACCTATGTACATGTAAGTTGTTTTCTGTGGTTTTTCTCTTTTTTTTTTTTTTGCCTTTTGTGTTTTTTTGATTTTTATTATTATTATTTTTTTAAAATAAATTCAGTGTTCACATTTCTATAAAGAATTAAACCCCCGTTTCGGGAAGCGCTGCCCTGGCGGGGCCGCAGAGCGATGCTTCTCCCTGCCCGCACCTACTCCTCGCCCGCCCCGAGGCTCCGAGGGGCCCGTGGAAGAGGAAGCCGGGCCCGGCCCGCGCCCACGGGCGCTGGGTCAGCGAGCTTTCGGGAAAGCAGAGGGGAAGACGAACTTACTGCGAAACCCTTTTTAAAAAATAGTCGTACACGTCCGTGCGCGCCTGTCCGGACGGCAGGAGAACAAGAGCTTGGGGACATCCCGCGGGGGCCGGCGGGAGGTCGGTCGGTGGGCGCCGTCGCGGCCGGCCCGTGCTGCTCGGCGCCCGGGCGCGCGTCCGGGGTGCGGGGGAGAGGCCTGGCTCCGCGGCCCCCCCACTTCCTGGGCTCCGGCTGGAAGGCGCTCTCCTCCGAGGCCTGCGCCGCCGGGCCTGGCTGCATGCACGCGAGCGAGCGCGGGAAGCACAAACGTTCGGCTTTGTATGCAAAAAAGGTACAAAAACAACTAGAATATAAAAGTTTTGGTAATATAAGGCCATCTGTTCAAGTCCGCTGTGGAAACCTGTAACAGATATTTAAATACTACAGTGAAAAGGCATCTTAATATACTTTTTTAAAAACATCTGAAGTAATCTGCTAATAGTAAGTGTGTGTAAAAAAAAAAAAAAAAATCAATTCCCTTTGAGGGCACTTTGTCCACGAAGGGGGGGCGGGCGTTAATGCTTCAGCCAGGGGTAGGCCTCGATGGAGGCCCGGCTGCGGTCCCCGTAGTCGTACAGCAGCTCCTCGCCCGCCTCGATGTCGCGGGAGGCGATGAGGATGAGGTGAGGCACGCCGTCGATGTCGTGCAGTTTGGTTTGGCAGTTCCCACATTTACTGTGATTGATCAGCCTCCCCAGGCGGTTTGTCTCTCTGGTGGCATCCACGCTGGCGGGGAGGGAGGGAGGGCAACGGAGGGTTGTTAGGTTGATAAAGAGGCTTTTGAACCCAGCCAGCCGGAGTCCCCCATGCCCTCAGCTCTGGCAGGATGGCAATTTATGGCCACGCCTTTTGGGAAAACAATTCAACTTAAAAAAAAAAATAAATAAATAAAATCTCAAGAGCCTAGAGAGGCTGCTGGGGTGGGTGTCTCCGGCAGGGGTGGGAGGAGACAGGAATGCAAAGGGCTCTTTGTGGAAGCTCCGGAGGCAACCGTAGAGTTCGGCACAATTGAGAAATGAATACAAGTCAGCCGTGCAGGACTGAGGGAGGCGGGGGGGCGGGGGGGGGGGGGGGGGGGGAGGGCAGGGAGTATGGGAACTCTCTGTACCTTCCCCTCGGTTTTGCTGGTACCTAAACCTGCTCTAAAAAATCGTCTGCTAGAAAACAACCCACAACAAAAAGCAACCCCCTGCACGGGCCATCTGGAGAACGGAGCAGCCAGCCGTCTCCAGAGCCGCCCTGGCCCAGTGCCCCAAGAGGCGGCGGCAGGTGAGCCTCGGAGCCGTGTCCACGTGACCAGCCCGAGCCTGCTCCAAAGTCGGAAAACGAGAAGGGGGTGGGGGAGAGCGGCTTCACAGCTGAGAAAAGGCAGCCGGAGCCACAGGACCAGGTGTTCCTGGCCTCGGCGGCAGCCGGGGACTTACCAGTAGGTTTTGCTCAGATACTGGAAATAGTACATGTAGCAGCCGGTGGAGGGGTCCTGCGCGTACACGGCCTCCCGCTTCTTGGCGTCGGTGATCTCGATGAGGTCCCCGTGGTACTCCACCACAAAGTCGCCCCGCGAGAACTGCTTGGTGGCGATCACGCCCCTGCCTTTGCCGTCGATGAGGTCGATCTGTCGGGAGGCGATGAGCGAGAGGGTTAGTTCCTAACAGCCAGAGGTGCCACGGCGAGGCCGGCCCGGGAGGCCTGGGATCGCCTTCGTGGGAACAGCTTTCGTGAGGGATGCTGCCGAGTTCAGGGTGAAGCACATTGAAGTGCACACAGGGCTGTGACTATCGCCAGGAACCAGCACCTCAGAAGGTCCCCTTGTGCCCGTTTGCAAAGCAGGGTCCTGCGTCTCCTGAGAAGTCTGCTAGGTGGGTGTGGCCCACTTTGCGGGTGAGAAAACGGAGGCTCAGAGGGGGCAGGCCCACGTCCCCGCCATGTGGCCGGGAAGTGGTGTAGCCCGGACTCAGACCATGCAGCGAGCCTCTTGGGGAGAGCAGGAGGACCCAGCGCCGAGTCTCTCCTTCAGGGGCCCAGGCTTACAGTCCAGATCTCCCTCCATGGTGGGTGGGGACTGTAGCTTTCGGCCCTGAATCTCAGCGCAGACCATCTGGCTACCAGAGTTCCTCTCCTCTCACCCACCCAAATGTGACAGAAAAATACTAGGAGAAAAGCAAGTTTCTTGAGCATTGCCACTCCCCAAGAAAACAGTTTAATTTTTTTTTTAATCATATTTTTGTTGATTTCAGAGAGGAAGGGAGGAGAGAGAGAAACATCAATGATGAGCGAGAATCATTGATTGGCTGCCTCCTGCACGCCCTCTACTGGGGATCAAGCCCGAAACCCTGGCACGTGCCCTTGACCAGAATTGAACTTGGGACCCTTCGGTCCTAAGGCCAATGCT